CTTCTAAAGCGGGGATGCACACACGCACGCCATTGATAGCAATTGCCTTCACTTGCTTGCAAGGCGTTCCCTTTTCTGGCTCTCCTTAGTTACGCGCCAGGCAGAACCAACTCCCCCCCCAAACGTTTGCCATCGACAAGCTATCGATTCCACAATCACCTCGCAATGTCCTGCCACAGGCCACTCTTCAGTGCTCACACCATTGATCCGAGACTGGTGCTTGAAATGCATTGGCAAAGCCTTGAGTTCTGACTTCGACTTCTAGTCGAGTACGTGAATTCATGGTGCTATTCTTCACGCAGAAGGCTAGCATTATAGCGGCCAATGTGCCTTGTTCCTGCATCCTTCCGGTTCAATGTAGCGACACGGCCAGTGGGATCCACCACAAAGACAAAGCCTTTGACATGCCAAGAAAACGACCTCGACGGGTTCTGGAGACGCCGTCTTACTGCTGCGTCCGGGGATAGACATAGGGTCGCATACCGTTTACCTGCCCAACTGGTACACGATTTGGGCAAATTCTCGTCGAAACCTGCCCCGTTTGGCTTTAGCCGTCTACGCCAACGAACTACTTACCAGCCAGGGCTGCCTCTGGTCCCCTCACATTCTAAGGCTCTTTTAACATGGATGCGCATATTTCCTAGCAAACCTCAGGAATTGACCACGGAAGATATCGGCCTAAGCCTGGGTTGAAGCCCCTCAACCAGATATTGAGTGATGATAAATGCACTTTGGCCAGTATCCGGTTATAAAGTTCCGCTCCCAAGGGTGAGACAGGCTTGAGGCAACTGAGTGTTGCCACGAGACCGCACGACGGCACTTCTCCTATGCAGGAAAAGACACTTGTGATTGATGTGTAGGTAAGTTACAGGCGTTACCCGACGATATCTAGCGAACGACCCTACTGCAAAGGAGCTTCACAAGTTCAAAATGGGCTGGCCGCACCCGGCCGTAGATCCGTTAGCGTTTCTGATGGTCGGCACATCCATGGGAGCCAACGTTAGCAATCGCGGTGTCATGACGGGAATATAGAATGACCCGCAGTTCAGGTCAAACGGGAACGGCGATGGCTACCCAAAGTAGATAAACCACAACACCGGGCCGTTCTCTATCAGTCTCCGTTGATAGTTCTGGGCCAACTATTGTTTCAGTCTCTCCACGTCCTACGAAGCATGCCTAACGTGCAACAATGAGAGAAACTTATTTCCATCTGGCCGAATGAATTTTGTAGTAAAAGTTACTGTTGCTCATCTCTATGAGATCTCCCCTCTCCTCACCTCACAGTTCTGTAAGAAGGCCGCAAGAAATAAATCCATAAGACACAATGAGAATCGTTTTGCTTCATACTGGTACGGCATGCATGCCCTGAGCAATCCCACGAACTCCTGGTAGGGAGGCTATCGATGTTTGAAACAGCCGCGCGCTCGAATTCAGCCTCCAATTCATATGACAGAAAGCCACTTGGGTCCTCAGCATGCAGGTTACTAGTGTCCTGGCACCTACCAAGGTCGAAACGGTCGACCTGTAGCTAGTCTTGCTAAATTATACGTGAGGATATAATGAGAGAGGAGTAGGTAGGCAAGGAAGGCAAGGCAGGCTCGAGGCAGGGTAGCATTCACCTGCCGTGCGCGCCAGTACTGTACAGTACCATACATAGTATGTGCAGGAGGCTCGGAGGCCCGCGCTACAAGGTTCCAGGCTTTCCGTCACTGCGACGAACTTTCCTTTACCCCACCTTTGTTCTGTCGATCATCGCGAATCCCCCCATCTAGCTCCGAGAAGACCGTTTGACTGGCGGCTCGTCGCACCCGATCGACCTGTCACTCCCTGCCTCTGTCAATCGCAAACCGTTCGCCTGCCGTCGCAAAAGAAACCGTAAATCGTTAGAGACCGAGGCGCATCGATCCAGGAGCAGGAGGGCGAGAACACCGAGACAAGAGGAGCTCAAGTCGATAGCGCGTGGCAATTCAAACGACGACGACGACGACGACGACGACGACGACGGCATTCTCGACACGAACAGCGACGGGCGCAAGCAAACGAGGCGCCTGTTTGCTTTCCTGAGAGATTCGCCCCTCCCACGGCTAAGCGAGCATCGTAGGACTCGCAAGACAAACGCCCGCCGCTGCAGAAGGCCATGATTGCGCCCAGCCCCAGCCGATATCACTGATTGCATTGCCTTCCCTCCTCGAGTGAGCCCAGTGGCTGTACGACGGTAGCCTTTCACCCGTCGTTCATTCCCCTTTTGCGCAGGTGTGATGCCTCGGTCTAGCTTTTCAGACAATCCTTTGTTGCGTGTATCGAGGCCCGTGTCAGCCTGCTCCAGATGTGAGCCCCCAAACTGCCCTATTGTTCTTTGTCGTAGCTGACGCTTGTTCGCCCAGGTCGTGCTGCCAAAGTAAAGGTGACTAGTCACTTGCCGAGCCCGAATTTTCTTCTCAACACAATGCTGAACCTTGAATAGTGCGATGGCAAGCTACCTGCTTGCACGGCCTGCGAGAAGGCCGGACGAGAGAGCGAGTGCTCTGCCGCCAATGACCAGTTCGCCCGTGGAAAGGAAAGAAGGTTCGCTCGGATTCGCTCATCCTAATTTTTGTCCGGGGCTGTTGCTAATGATGTGCAGCTATGTCGCAGCTCTAGAGTTACGTATCGAGAAGCTTGAACGGAGGCTGGCATATGCTCGGTCAAGGAAAGCATCTGTTGCATTGCATGAGCAAGAGGTCCCAGCATCCATGGAGGCAGATCGCAAGGACTCGTTGGCCACAATTCGAGCAGCTATCCACCGTAAAGCTGCAAGGAAACGAGAGAACTCTGATGTCAACTCTTTGGTGTCGGATTTTGGATATCTGTGAGTAATGTCCGAGTGCTTGCAAATGCGGAACTGATAAATGATCCAGTTCTGTTAATGCTACAACACGCGACTTCGAGCCGTCATTAAGTAACATGACCTTCGCTCGTCTGGTTCTTGCGGCTGCTATGAATGATCCCGTCCCAGAACCCAAGACCACAAAACTTCCGTCGAGGCAGGCTGCGTATGCGATCGTACAGTACTATATGGCCAACATTTACTCGCTCTTCCCATCATTCTCAGAGACTGCTCTTCTTTCTGTACTTGACGACCTATATCAACCGGATCAACGACCAATCAAAGCTGCAGATAAATGGTTACTATACATGGTGCTTGCGATCGGTTCGACGGCTCAAAGTCGAAGCCGCCAGGATGACTTCTACACGAATGGCGTGGAATTCGTATCTCGTGCACTCCAGTTCGCTGATCGCTCCTTAATGCCTGGCTATGTCACTCAAATTCGATCGCTGCTCCTTTTGACTCAGTATGCCATGATAGATCCAGCTCATTTTGACAGCTGGCATCTTATCGGCTTCACATGTCGAGCTGTTGTCGATCTTGGGTTCCATCAAGACCCCCCAATGCAGCAACAGGCTGATAGGGGGGCCCTCGATGAGAGACGCAAAATATTTTACTGCGTCTACTCACTAGACAGGTACGTGACCCCACAGCCCTCGCCTTCTCCATTCATGCTAATATATTGTTGGTCAGGGCTATAAGCATGGTGTATACGCGTGCCTTCTCATTCACTGACGACGGTATAAACGTTAACTTTCCCTCGATGTCTGGCCTTGGCCGCATCGCATCCATCTCTGGCACCATTACAGGTCCCCAATCTGCTGATCCTGCCATTCTCCTTTTCCAACTTCGCCGTATCCAATCTCACTGGTACCAGACACTTTTCCAGTCCGATCCATCCGACACACTCGACGACGCAGCTTCGTTTGTCTGGCAGATGTGCCATGACATGCGTGAATGGTCAGAGTCGCTGCCCGACACATTGCCGATTGGTATCCGGGAATTGTTCGACCTGGAGCTGAAGTACAGTTATGTGTACTGTCTTGCGCCAAGTGCAAAGGCACCGCATATGACTGCGTATGGCAGGATGTTGATATTCGAGTATGCAATCGGATATCTTGATCGAATCTTTGAACTGGCCCATGGGCCACTGAACTCTGCATTCTACACCTACCATGATGCGTTACGAGTTTTCTTCATGGGCAGCCAGTTCATGGCTGTTCTTCGAGACACTGGTGACGCACTGCTGTCTGGGACTTCTGTTCCCGTTCCGCTGTCACTACCTGGCCGAGCGCCACCTCCACCGATGCCTGAACGGAGTGGTGGGGATAACCTTGAGCGCAGCATCAGATGCTTGGAGCAGGTGACCTTGACGCTCAAGAAATATGGCGACCGTTGGAACGATGCGATGTCATTGACAGATAGCTTTCAGAGGTTAAGCACAGATCTCCTCGAGAGTTTGAAAACCAAGCGCGAAATCCGGAAGACGGCGCAAGTCAATGCACAAGCACAACAAGCACAGCCGCGGCCGCAGTACCCATCATATCCCCCAGGGCAGTTTGCGATGCCCCCGCCGATGCAGCCGCAAATGCAACCTCAGATGCAACCCCAGATGCAGCCTCACTTGCAGCCTCCACCTCCACAGATACAGATGGGTGGCGTCAGTCATCCCCAACAAACCGAGGTCAAATGGGTGGATGTAGATATCTCAAAGATTATGAGGGGCGGTGGAGGTATATGACACAGAATAATTGATGACTTTTTGCAATGATATGAACATATATAGGGATGGAATTGGGATTTACAAGGATTGATAGATACCATTGCGTTCGCTTGTGATCGGCGGTTCTTGGAAGATAATTCATTTACTAAGGACGCTGGGATACCACTTGCACATTGAAGCACCGGATGACAGTTCTCAGTTCGTGTTTGCGTTTAGATATGCATTTCCCTTGAGATCGAACCGGAACATTAGATCGTGAGTTTTTTTTTTTTTTTTTTTTTGCAGTCTGCGCATTGGACAGATAACGACATCCGAGCCTTGGTAGCACACCATTTGAATACATTCACGCCAGAAGTATCCCACATTCACTTTTCATGATGCATTCTCAAATTTCAGGGGAGCGCAGGTGTATTAGTAATCCTATAATGTTCAGCAAACGTACACCTCCTCCCAAGAGAGCAGCAATTCACGGACCTAGCAACCAACTTTTTCGCACTGACTTTCCCATCATGTAGTGCCTTGACCCCTTCAACAATTCCCTCCAGCCCGCCCGGCAAAACCTCGACCGGATGCGGCTTGAATGTCCCCTCGGCCAACAAGTGGCTTAGATATCGGTAGAGCATAGACGAGAACTCGGCGTCCGCCACTGCCTGTTCCTCCGTGATGTGCTTGTGCGGTACGCCATATGCGCTGCTGACGAAGGTCCGCGACATCTTGACGCCCTCGGGCCACGACCAGCTCTCGTCCTCGGGCGGATCGACGATGTTGATGTGGCCCCCGCCGTTCGAGGCCAGCAGAACCTTGGAGATGTGCTCGTACGACTGGTGCCCACAGATCGCGTCAAATGCTACTGTCAGCCTCTTCCCGCCCAGAGCGGACAGGATTCCCGTCTCGACGTTTCCTTTGCGGTAGTCGATGATGTGCGTCGCCGCATCCAGGGATTTGACAAAGTCGATACCAGATCCTGCGACCGTGATGATAGGATCCAACTGGCTCAGCTTGGAGAGCTGCAGGGCGTACGCGCCGACGGCGCTGGCTCCGCCCCAGACCAGAATCGGGATATTCTTCGTGCCGGGGGTGGTGGGAAGCGGGAGACCCAAGCCCTGATATAAGGCTAGAGCGGCGGTGATGAAAGACAGGGGAAGCCCTGCCCCGGCCTCGAAGGAGATGTTGGCCGGAAGCGGAAATGTCGTGCCAACGGGCACGATGGCGTACTCTGCATACGTTCCCGCCGGCTGGCCCATCTTGTGGAAGCCAGCGACACGGTCTCCGGCCTTGTACTCGAAGACCTCGGATCCTATGGCGTCGACGATACCTGTAACATCATCGCCAGCATTCAGAGCGCGAGACTCATCCCAGGCTTTGACGAACTGTGGGGTTGTTTAATTAGTAGCTTAACATGAAGCGAGTTTCGGCGAAGGCTTACCTTCCAGTCCTTCGGATTCAAACCAGCGGCCACCACCTTGATGAGAACCTCTTTGGGGCCTGGCTTCCTGCACAAGTTCTATCAGAATCTAGGAAGAGAACACACGAATACGATTACTCTTACGGAATCTCGACTTTTCGCGTCTTGCCCTGGAAGTCCGGCTTCCCCCAAATCACGTACTCGTTCATCGCGGTGGACATGTGTCTCAGTAATCGCCAACTGGAGCGCGGGGCTGTCTTAGCAAGAGAAGCAGACACAGCCCTCGCGAGGATCATGAAGAGAAGCTCAAATGCTCGTTGGCAGCGTTTGGAAACACACGTATTTCATCTTCGCATCTCCTGCTTTTATGTATCTTCAATCGCTCGGTTTGATTGTGGAAAATTAAGTGTCAAGATTGTAGTATGCACGGTGACAGCATCACGATGCGGAACATTTATTAGCCAAATCCAGCAGCGCGGTGACTAATCGGCATGCATACCTGCATGCCAAATGCCGCTCACTAGCAAAGCCCCAGCGGCCGCTAGAAGGCTCGCGAATCAAAGGTCGAAAGCCCAATTCCACTTTTCCGCCGAACGCTCCAGGTTGTCACCGTACAAGGTGAACCTTAAGTAGTACAAACTCAGACCTCGACTCAAACGCCGCGGACAAATCCCTGGAAGCAAATACGTCGGCTCGTATCGGGTCTTGAAGCGCGGGCATGTTCATCTACGCGCCGTTTCCCTAAAGGATACATGATAAGGATCGGTCAGTGTGGTCCTTCAGCTCAAGATTCAAGGCAACCCCACAATCATGTCCCGTACTGACATACGTAATGACTCGTACACTAAATTAGAATGGACGTAGTAGAAGACGAACCATCCAGCCTCATCGATCTTTGAAGCGTCTTGTCTCTCTTGGTAGTAGTTGTGATTATAAGAGCCTAGTCAAACCGTGGATTCCTAAATGCGATGTAATTAATGTATAGCAAGCAAACTTCGTTCACTAAACTCTCCTTGCTCCCCTGGGGCCTCGTACATCTGGTGTTAAGAGGGTTCAATCGCCAATGAGAGCTTATCATGCTAAAAGTCGCAATGGCTGCGGTCAGTGTAAGCGACTTCGTGTCAAGGTTAGGTAATTATTCGTGGGCTGCCACAAGAATCTGAACAAGACCCGCTGACACAAGCATTCAGTGTAATCTTTAAGTGCCAAAGTGCAGCCACTGCCGGCGTGGGCGGGAGGTGTGTGATTATGAGCAGCACAATCAGGAGATTTTGGTTCCCTTGTCAGGTCACATCTCTCATCCGTTCAATCCACCCCGAACCTATCCGACCTTCCCACAGCATATTTCTCAACCTCAATCGCCAGAGCTTCTACCCGGCCTTGTAGATCTGTCAGCAGACACACATGTTGCGTTAGCGAGGCTTCTAGATTACTTCTCGGAACATACGGCCCCATCCATTGCCCTGATTGACCAGACATTAACGTTCTGGTCCATCGAAATCCCCACCCAGGCGCAGTCAAAACTGTTCTTAGCACATATCATCTCGGCACTGGCTGCTTTGCATGTAGCTCGAGAATAGTCTCAAAACGTGACACATTAATCAACACCTCGCTCGTACATACTATGCAAATTCAACAAGCCTCTTTCGAGCTACAGTTCATGATATCAACGCAGAGAACTCTGTTGCTATATTTACTTTCTCTCTAGCCATCGTGATGTTTCAACTGGAAACATCAAGCATGTGCCCAACTTAAACTCGGGAATATCATTCGAAGCTAACGAGGTGCTGATAGACCTGCGGGGTGCGTCATTTCTCGTGGACAAGCTGAGCCCTTTCTTGAGAGGGAGTTCAATTATGGGCCTGGAAAATGTTCCTCTTGTGGAATACATTGTGGATGTTGGGCATGACGGAGAAGACTGTCGCGCACTCACTGTCTTGAGCATGCTCAAAATGGTAGCTTGTGAAGATGTGGATGACTGCACTCAAAATCAGGAATACGCCAGGATGCGATAGAGCTCTTGCATCGACTCTACCACTCACTGATAGCAAACCAAAGCGTCTGATACCAACTACCTTAGTGACCAACTATTGTATCCGAAAGGTATTTGACTTTGTAGCGGTATAGAGACCATAAGGCGTTGTTTATTTTCCTGATTTGGTACACCATAGTTGAGAACGCCTTCAAGTCGTGGGTGTTCACAGAGAGTTACTCCCAAAGAGCTGTTCATTCCATCCAAGCAATTCTAGGATCAAGTTGGGAGAACAGGATAGGGTCAATCCTGGCTGAGCTGGGCGCAGTGACACAAGCGGCAACTTAACATTGGTTTGATGTGCACCGTGACCACAAAGGCACTGTTTCCGGAAGGCCCGACAAAATTCAAATACAGCGTCTATTTAAGATCATCATTAACAAATTGATATCACATGGCGTGAATTCTATAGCTAGATCTTTAGGAGTCCAACATGGAGTAACATTCAATGCCAATCCGAGTTTAGTGTACGAAGTAGATCCGGGACATCTATATCGAAATACAATTATATAAATGAGGCATACGCTTACACATTTTGCCCATCCTCTTCTTCAAGGAGTCCTGATCAATTCTTAATTGCACAATGTACTTCTTTTCAAGTATCCTTTACTCTGCCACTCTTCTTACCAGCATCTTGGCCCGTGGCTTTCATGGATCCAAAGCTTGGGACAAGGTTCGTTGGCCCAAACGAGTCGTTAGAAGTGCGCCAACATACAAAAAGATCATTCTGAAGAACTTTCGTGTTTTCGACGGTTACAATCTCCGTGGACTTGAGACAGTGGTCATAGATGGTGACTCAATCGGCACCGATGTTCACAATGCTGATGAGATGATCGATGGACACGGCCGCGTTCTTTTACCAGGCCTAATTGACTCGCACATGCATGTCTATCTCAATGGGAATCTTGAAGAACACAGCAACTATGGTGTTACCATGATACTCAACATAAACTACTTCAACTACACATTTTGTGAAGAGCTCAAACAAGCTGTCGGGTTGAGCTCTGTTATTACGACGGGACTCCCAGCAATCGGGCCTGAGGGATATCACACAATGACGACTCCTATCACAGACTCGGAGCTGGTCAGATCTCCATCTGATGCTGAGGAATTTGTTTCCTGGACAGTCGGCAACAATTCGGACTTCTTGAAAATTGTGGCGGAATACGGTGGTCCCTCGCTGGAGACCCAGCAAGCGTTGGTCCAGGTCGCGCATGAGCGTGGGATCCCGGCTGCAACCCACGCCAGTTTCTACGAACCATTTCAGCAAGCAATAGAGTCCAAATGTGACATGATCCAACACATTTCTAGCGACGCCGTCGTAGCTGACAAGTGGATTCATACGATTCTCAAACAAAACCAAGTCGTTGTGCCTACAATGACCATTTTCCGATACATGTCTGAAACCCTGCAGTTGTCCAGTTCTTACAGGGAACCAACACCACGAATCAATCCTTTCCAATTGTCCAGGCCAATGTCAAGACATTACACCAGAAAGGAGTAACCATTGTCGCCGGAACAGATTCCATTGGTACTGGTCCAGAGGGGATTCTATATACCGCACGGCCTGTCCCTTCATCGCGAGCTGGCTAACTTTGTCGAGGGTGGCTTTACTCCGTTGGAAGCATTGCGTTCTGCTACAAGCATCCCCGCGAAAGCCCAGAATTTATACGACCGTGGCGCTATTGCGCCAGGAAAAGGGGCAGACTTGATCCTTCTGAACAGTGACCCTTTCGTGAACATTACAAACACAAGGGATATCGCACGTATCTGGATTGGGGGATTGGAATATGAGGATGTGGCTACCTTATAGCTTTACTCCAAATAAAGAGAGAGGGTCTAATGTTCAAGTCACTGTTGGGAAGATACTAAAGATAGAATGGCCTTGGAATTGATATTATGATAGAGTTTCCAGCAACATTTTCTTTGGTAGGTACAAATTCAGCAAGTGAATAACTGTCTACTTGATTTGAGCTTTCGGGCGAAAAGAACTGTTCCTTTAACGAAGAAATCTAGCAGCCGACAGCTTCAAAGAGTAGAAGGCTGATTGCACGTACCTTCCAAAGAGGAGGGATCTGTAGTGACCCTGCTCTCTCCCCTATGACGTAGGGGCTTCGTCAAAGTAGGTAGCTTTCATAGGGTTTGAGCTGTAATGGCGATGATTGTGTTGTTTTCGTCCGAAATCTGCTAGGGCACGTGAGCAATTGAAAGGGGCACACGACGACGCGACGCGTTAACCACCCACAAGTAGGTTATCGTCGCAAGCAATTTCAACTGAAAACTTGTATATTCTACTCATCCATCTCCTGTCACACCCATATTCTTCCATCTATTTGATATTTTGGTGTACTCTCACCAAGCTATCATTCCCGCCTTGTATTCATCCCTTGAACACATCATAAGGATAGCGGTCACTGTCGTCTTCACGACAATCTCATCATGACAGCTCCGATGATCCTTGGCGCCATGTGGTGAGTTCTGCTATACTTCCTCTTCTTCAAAGCCTTACTCACAATTGTTTCAGGGCGTGGGGTGCAGGCGACAATGCCATCGCATCTCGTTATGGAACTGACTACAAGCCGGTTGAACTCCCTGAGAAACCATCTTACTCTCCTGAGAAGGACGTCACCTTGCTTGTTCCGACCATCGACACTCCTGACACCTTTCCTAAGTCAATGCGCACCTGGCTCGCCAACAACCCTCTCCAAATCGTGATTGTCACTACAGCTGATTACTTCAATCATGTCGTCAACCTACTTAAGGATTTTGACGATGAGATCAAATCGGGCAAGATCACAATCGCAGTTTCCGCCAAGCCTGGTAAGCGCGAGCAGCTGAAGACTGGTATCCCCCTTGCCAAGGGCAGGATCCTTGCATTGAGCGATGATGACACCTATTGGGGCCCCAAGTTCTTGAAGTACATGCTTGCCTGTTTTGAGAATCCTCACGTGGGTGGAGCTGGTGGCGCCCAGAGCGCCCATGTTCTGCCAGAGCATCAGGACGAGAATGTCATCAACAAATGGGAGGTGGCCTCGATCCGCATCCTCGATCGTCGCAATAACGGTCAAGTCTCCAGCTATGCCGCTGATGGCGGCGTCTTCATTCTGGCCGGCCGTTCTGTTCTCTTCCGAACCGAGATCTTGCATGATCCTGAGTTCCTTCACAAGTTCACTCATGATTACTGGCGTGGCAAGTATCTGCTGGATTCTGGTGACGACACCTTCATCACCCGTTGGCTGCAGGAGAAGAACTGGAAGATTGTCATTCAATCTCGCCCTGAGACTGAGATTCAGACCGGCATTGCCACTGATCGCAAGTTCCTGGGCCAGTTGATCCGCTAGGAGCGCAACACCATCCAGTCCTTCATCCGCAGTGTCTTCACCAACCCTCTCGTCTGGCGGTAAGCATTTCCCTCCTACATATTTCCGCGTGTTGCCATTCGAAGAAATCTAATACATTTTCTCAATGACATAGCTATCCTCGCGTTGCGCGCAAGATGATCGAGCGCCTTCTGCGTCCTGTCTTCACTACGATCCAGTTCTATGCCTGGATTGTGACTTTCTACCAGTACCCACTGATTGGGTGAGTTGTCTCTAGGGATCATGATGAGCTGAGTTGAGACTAAGTGTGGACTAGATTCATCATCTTGGGACTCTATGTTCGACCGATGATCCGCACCTACACTGGCTTCTTGCGCAAGTACCCTTACTGCCGCCGCCAGCTGTTGGCCGCGTTCCTCGTCGACTACTGCTTCCCCATCCTGGACCTGTACGCCTGGGCCACCATTGATGATGTGAGACTCTCTCTCTTGTGTCTTTGAATTGCCATCTAACGAGAGAACAGATGGGCTGGCTCACCCGGGATCTGGGTACTGTTAAGGAGGATTAAGTCTTTGTGTCGATGTCGTGTCTCAAAAAAGGTAGGTCATTCACGATCGAGCACACAGACAGGGCACGGGGGTGTATATGGAATGCGTGGAATCAATGGAATTTTATCAATACAACCATGCTTGCTTTGCAAATCAACCATCACAACGGTCAGCCATGGACGGTAGCTATCAAACCAGAAATTTAAGGCAAATGTGCAAGCTCCCAAGGGGAAGCATCTATCTGAAACATTCTTTGAGGACTTTCTTTCCGATGAGTGGTGAATGTATGCTGCTATGTTGTGTCTCTGAGGGAGAAACTATGAGATATCCATCAATGGCACACACGTGTTTGAAGGCATCTGTCAGGTATTGTTTCCTTTGTTTTCAATTCTGGCAAGTTTATATTTTCGATCTCGAAATTTGGTTGACTAATTTTCTCAAATACTCACGTGTTTAACTAAGGTTGCCTAAAAATCAAGACTCAGCCATGCTGACAGAGAAGTTTCACTCTTAGAACACCACATTCATTCAGAAATATTCAAGTATAAGGATCCATATGAATGAGAAGAGTCGAGGAAGGCTATAGAATAAGTAGGTTGCCAAAGACATCGAAGTTGTTGATGCAGCCAGGACCACAATAAGGAGTTTAGGTCGGAGCATAGTGATCAATGCAAGTTGTTGAGTGAGATCTTTCCTTTGTTCTCAAAGTATTGAATGCTTCGGAAACACTTACATTGTTCACTCATGACGAGCTGCAAAGGTGCCTGGTGTCTTCCAGCCCAGCTGTCTACCTACCTTAGGCATCCCAGCAAGGCACCCGTCATAGACCAAGCTGGCTGTCCAGTTAACACACCAACTTTGGATTAACTCTAGCTAAGCTTGAAAGTGCGCTTGTAACAAAAGCGCACTGGCCAATCCTCATTCGAGAAACCAACAATAGAAGTCCCGTAGTCAGCGCACAATGAAGGTCTAGACAAATCAGCCCCTTCCGCTTTCAGCCTCAGTGCTCTATTCCCCCACGATTGTCACCTGCTGTCCGCTCGCAACAGAAATCTCAGCCTTTCCTCTGCTTGTATCTTCCATCGCTTTCCCCTTCGCCTTTCTGATACGATGCTGAGCTTTCGTATTTAGTCTGCCCGAATTTTCTGTACCCATTTCCTGCTCTCATCATCATTTCCCTCCACCAACGCATTCGCTCGGATGCTCAGCGACAACCTTCGACCCCAGTGCAGCGAGACGATCTCCTTGATCGGGATCCCGTCATGAGCGACAACTTCCTCTTCTCCAATATGGCGCAGACTGACCCAGATGCACCGGCGGACTCTCTCGTCAGTGACAGTTCGCCAGATACTGTTCGCTCTTGGGCTCCTGTTACCATGGCCCCAGGCCGAGTAACCTACAGAGATGAGCAACTTCAAACCAGCTACATTATTCCATCTCAATATCAGTACCAGACTCCTGAGCGACCAGAAGTTTATGAGCATTCCTTCTCTCCGAACACTATCCCCTATGTGTTCGAGCGTCCCCGTCAAAACCATGGTACCTCAACCATTCCTCGAGCTGAGAGAATCTGGACTGCAACCCAGCGAGTTGAGACTGAGCAATACCCTCCCATCACCAATCTTCGTTCAGCTCAATTGCCCCTTAACCCGATCCGAGAGCCCCGACTGCCTGGGCCTGTCCCGCTCTTTGGTCGTCGTTCCATGTCACCTCTTCATGAGGATATCCAGAAGCTTTCCTTATCTCAGTCGCCGGGCACACCGACACCTGCCCCTAATTACTTCCGTCCTATGGAGAAGGTGAACCGCACCTTTCCGCCGGTCTCTGTCTCAACTCGGGCGTCTTCATCTGTCCCTACTAGCCTCAGCCAAGAACAGGTTTCCAACATGCTGAACGGCTTCTCTAAGGACTACAAGGGCAAAAACACACCCCGAAACATGAGCGCCAATATCCCTAATTCTGAGAATTGCTCCGTCTTCATTGTTGGATTGCCTCCTGTACTTACTACCAACCGTCTTCTCACCCATGTCCGAGATGTGGGCCGTATCTACGCCACAGTCATCAACGCACCCGATCCGTCCAAGGAGCACTACTGCTCAGCCGCCAAGATCGTCTTCTTCGAGAAGTCCGCCGCCATGAAGTTCTTCCAGAAATGCGAGTTCGATGGCTTTTGCATCGACGGCTACAAGGCCCGAGTTGTCTGGAACCGAGTCAAGTCGGCCGAGCAGCCGGGCAGCAAAACCCGCACCCGCGTGCTCCAGATCGTCGGTCCCTCGCACTTTGTCAACTCGGCTTCGCTCACCACCTACTTCCACCTGAAGCTCGAGTTCCAAGTCGACGAGATCCTCATGATCGCGCAGAAGGCGGACACCAACATCATAGAGTATCGCTTCGGCAGCTACCGTTGCCAGGCAGAGGCGGCCAAGATGGCGTTGGAGAGAGAGTGGGGCGACTCGGTGAAGGTGTACTTTGGGCGTGACCCTTGCGATGTCGTTGAGTGATCGCGATTGCGATCTGGAATGATCTCAACCCAAACCGCTTTGGGTTAATTTACGAAGTGGCTGGTCTTTTTTTGGTGGCAGTTTGTGTAACGTTTCACGGCGCTCTGCATGGAATCAATTCAGCGATGGACTTGACTGGCTTGAGAACATGATGATTTTCCTTTCAAAACAGCACCTGGATACAAAGAGGGTTCTGGACACGCATGGTACATGGATTCTTAGAACATGGTGTTTTCAGCAGCAGATTGCATGATTGTATCTAGGGTTTGCGAAGACTGAAGCGACGTAGCAATAATGAAGCTCGCTTAAACACACTCTTGTGCTCTTGTCGCTGTGAAGCCGTCTTCTCGGCATGCTCTCCCTTCACTATTGCTGATGTCCCGTTAGTGGTTTGTGCAGGCACCTCGGGAGCTGGGTCTTCAGGCACCTTCTTGTAGTGCTGCGTGAAGTCGTATCGCACGGCAAACGGTCCCATCAACAACTCCTTGGCAAACGGCCGGTCTTTCTCAGCTTTCGTCAGTAGCTGCATGAAGTCGTCTCTCTCATAACGGGTGGCAGGGTCGCTGTCTGACACTCGCTTGAAGTTCTCGGACGAGATCGGGTCGATCACGGTTTTCCACTTCTCGATCCTCTTCTCACTGTAAAGGTCGAGGATGGACTCGTCCGCCTTCCCGTCCCAGATGCCTGCAAGACAATCGTACAAACCCCCACAGTCAACAAACCCACCTGTGATGCCCAAGCCTCCCCAGGGGTTGCAGAGATGAGCTGCATCGGCAGCGAGAAGGAACCGGCCTACGCGGAATGACGGTGCACAGCGCTGGTGCATTTTATATGGGGCAAAGTTGACAACCTTGTACTCGTCCGGCTTGGGATGACCTGGAAGCATAGTCTCGAATTTCATCGGTTGTCGGTCTACCATTTGCTCAAGAGTAAGACCCGGGGTCTCGCCGTAGGTAATCCGGTATAATCCGTCTTGTGTGATCTTTGCCGCCATCTTGTAGATCATTAGCATCGATAGCATCATTTGGGACTAGACAACTCACATAGAAATGCTCAGGATGAATGATGAAATTAGCATCTGCCCAGCCAAACTTCTCTTCGAAATTGTAGTAGGTCTGACCTCAGTTAGCATTGCTGAATATAGGCTTGGAATTCTGACGGCACTCACATTTGTCGCCACAATCTGCGCATCCCAGGTGAAGCCGGGGTACTCGTTCCCGAATAGACTCTTACGAATTTGGCTGTTCGCACCATCGCAGCCAATTATGTAGTCCGCCTCTACCTTGGTGTTGCCTTGCGGTGTTTCGACGTCAACCCATGCCTTGTTCTCATCTTGCCCTAGACCGGTGACTTTGTGCTCCCAGCTGACCTGGCCGTTGTATTTCTCCAGAAACAGGTCAAGCATCAGCTGGTCTAGATCTTGCATCGGCATGCAAGTCGTCCGCCAATCGTTGCCATCCACATCCGATATCACGTCTGCATCAAAACCCGCGATGTAGCTATGGTCTTCAAATCGACGCCAGCACATAGTGTTCAGCGTGAGGCCGCGTCGCCGCACCTCCTCCAAGATGCCAGCCCGCTGCAACTCTGGGATTGCCGGTGGGCCATAGTGTGCTGCTCGTGGCTGTTGGTCCAGATGATCGGAAGCCTCGAGAATGTGCACGGGGATTCCATGCTTCGATAATAGGAGAGCCAAGAGCAGGCCAGACGGTCCTGCACCTACAATAATAACCTATATCAATGTTAGATATATATGCAAATTTCAATGATGTCAAGCTGCCTGAGACATGGTACCTTTTTGAAGGGACGTTCCATTATGCCATTTGATCATGCATGTAGGGGTTGGAGAAATCGGGGATGGAGGGCAGCTCCGGGATGAAGAACACCTCTTCGGTGCATAATAGTAGGTCCCGCCATGCAGACCGAGGTAAGCTTGTCATGCCACTTGGACGCCGACGACATTCGAGATATGCGGCCGCAAAAGTCCATGCCGAGATCCAGACTGGCGGAATGAGGGGAAAGAAGACGGAGAACGCGGGGAAGCGATGTCCGCATGGCTGAGACTGAACCACTAGAACGCGATCTAACTCCAACTAGTAGATTGGCATCTGGTAACCTTTTCACAAGTGAGATCTGGCTTGCAGGATATATGGTTCCATGGTCTGGTTGCCGAACTCTGTAGGATTAGTCACGGATTATGCGTACTCGATCGACACCTCGAGTCGCATATTGACACCAGTCCGGGTTCCACCTTGACCTGGTACAAATGTCACTCTCATCTGTCTTCCAATCATTCATATGCTTTAATTAGAAGAATTTCTATCTTCGATGTCCTGATTGCTATTTACAAGTTGTAACGTAGGATTGATGTGAATGATGTGTTCACGCTTCTCTGAAGGCGTATGACAGTAATGACTTTCTTTGATGAAAGCTTCTTGTCTTATGGCGGTTTACGGGTGAAAAAATATCCAAAATCTGAGCATGACAAATGATGCGATGAGATTGGCTCATGGATGAGGTTGTACCCAATATGCAGGATTAGACATCTGACAGCATCGGATTTAAGCCACTCTTTTCATATTTTCGCTTGTGACTTCTCGAGTTGAAGAATTCCTGACTTGTCAGGATGCTCCATCGTGGTCTAACAGGGATTCCGCTACCCAGAAGGTCTCTTAAGACTTTTTCTCCAAACGTGTTCGTTTCGGAAAAAGTATTGCAACATTGCATTCATCGTCACTAAGCTACCTTTTCAGAGCGACATTTTCATCATCGCCCTTCTGATACTCAACCCCGAATGTTGTGTTGCTCTTGGGTAGCTCTAAATCCACAAGCCAGGGCAAATGGCTTGGCATCTCGTTATCGCCTTGAATTGCTGCATTGACGAATAGAGTCTGCTTTCCCCGTTCAAGTGGATTTGCATCACCGCAACAGTGGCTTGTATCGCACACCATCCAATCGCTGTACCTCTTGGAGTTGCCCCTTTTCGATGCTATCGTTTCTGCATCGTCGAACTTCCCTGGTAGCAACGCACTGAGGAGCTCTATAGAATGAGACCGCTCGTTATCTATATCTGTAAGATGTGAGGGATTCTCGTTCAACCTCTCTCGCCAAGTGACCAATTTGCCGCCCCAGCCTTCGTGAATGTGGCCAAGACAATGCATGAGGGTTCTCGCTCGGGCCACTGCAGCGAACAGATCCGGAGAGCCCGCTCTGCTCTGCAAATTTGTTCTGTCTAGAACGCCTCTTGGTGGTCCGTGTGTGAGGACAATATCAATTCCTTCTTCAATTACAAATGGATGCCCGTGATCTGGATGATATTGAAATGCCCAGTCACCAAGTGAAGGGGTGTACGGACTTGCATAAACCGTCAACTTTGCTCCATTTTGTAGTGTGAAGTGATGCGTGCCTTCGTTAAGGAAGTGAAAGCCCTCTTTGTGTTCTTCTAGTAACAGATGCTTCGCTTGACCGTAGTCTCCATATTCCTTCGCGACAAGTTCCGGTTCCAGTGGTGGAACCGCTTCATCTATCTTCTTCCTAAAGACGGGAGTATCGAGCGTAAAGTCATGATTGCCAGCGATGATGAGTTTGGTAGGCGCCTCAATATTTCGTAACAGCTGGATACTTGTGCGAATCTCATCAAGCTTGGACTCCTCTGTCAGGTCACCTCAGTGGATTGCGACGTCTACAGGGTGACGAGGTATCTTCCCCGCGAGGGTCATGCCATGCGGATCGGATACGATAAGGATTTTCGTTCTTACCATGTCCCTCGGTTTCGAAGGGTCCATCTCGTTCGCACTCCTTGTGTAGCTTGGAGTTAAATACAGCAAATCCGCGAGGAAGAAAAAGACGCTTGAATGAAGAGCAGTAAATTGCAAAATCCAAACGCAAGCAAGCGTTCAGTGCGCCACTGACTGATACCTACAGCAAGACTGTGTTTGAGATGAGAAGGCATCGGAGAAACTTTAAGTTCCACGGGTGCAGTCATCCAAAAGTGTAGCATTAAACTTTGAATCTTTTGTGAGTTGATTATTGCCTTCGTCTCTTGCACCCTTACTTGAGCCATGGCTTGTTCGGGGTCCAAAATCAACAAACTTGCTCCTCGCCTTGAACTTGAAGAGCATGCCTGCAGTCAACCTCATCACAGTCTTCCATACGAGTAGAAAAGCTACACATTTACATCAATCACGGGATACCAACTCACACAATATCATTCCCGCGAGGGTACTTAGGTGGATAAATCATGTCCGTGTATCAAATTGTCGAGGTGCGCTGTACTTATAGTTACACAAGAGCACCAAATCAATCTTGATGCGAGAAGTTTGGACCCATGCCAGGGTACCTGGACTAGGTACTTTTTGGTACTGTGGGCTTGAACAGGCTCATATAAGCTTCTTTCCATCTCAAAAGTTCAAACGCAACACAGCGCAAATTGAGATCAGAGCGCATGGAGCCAATGCTCGTACCTAAAGGCCAACGGGCCCGTCTAAGTACCCAGAATCGGTTTAGGGGCCTCTCGTTCGCCAAGGGACCCCAACAGGCCATCCTGATACCCGCGTGAGACCCCTGCCCAGCATGGCCAGCTCTCTTCAGGCAAGTGAGCGAGTGAGCCTTGCTCCCGTAGGCAGAGCCCTACAGTGCAGTGAGTTAACTATTCCTTCTGCGGCCTGCGGCAGGCGGCTGTAATACAGAGGCGCGGCGGTGATTGGGCAATGCGCGTCTGGTGTGTTACCTGGAATAGCCAGGGTGCGCATCCTTCCGAGCACCGCCTGCACAGTCCGAACTTGGCGTTTTCCTCATACGGACACGTGAAAAGAAACGGGTGAGATGATGGGAGCACATAGCATGAAATGGTCGCGGCATTGCACCTTTCATTTCTCGCGCTTCTTGATCCTTTTACTCTCCCGTGTCTTCTTCCTTCTTGTTTTCCAGTTGTATTGTCACGGTCTCTTCAAGTTCCTACAGCCTGCATCGTTAGACTTCTGAAAAGTTAAATCGAGGCCTAATATTACTTACAATTGCGAAAAAAAAAAAAAAAACCCGGGGCTGCGACTACGATTCTCGGACTGGACCTCGGGTAGGCGTCTTGTGTTTGTTCGTGCGTGCCGGACTTCCGGTGAGGTCGACCACCAGGGAAACGGGTCAAGATGGACAGTCCAGAGGTTGTCAACCACCAGCAGCAACAGCAGATCAAATACGAGCCGTACTCGCCGCAATCATCATATGCACACACTGGAACGAGTTCGACACCAATTCCAGTTCCATATACAGATCAGGCCGGCCTAGAGGTCGCACCGCATCAACCAAGGCCGTATCAGTATGGTCCGGCGACGGGGGAACACCGCACAATATGCGGCATCGCGCGGTCGACTTTCATATTAGCGATCATACTCGCCGTCGTGATTGTTGCTGCTGCTGTAGGAGGAGGTGTTGGTGGATCTGTGGCAGTCAGCAATGCAAAGAAGTAGGTGAATCCGAAATCACCCTCAGCCAACGATCGAGTGTTAACATCATCTTTCAAAGAAGCGCTTGCAACAGCAGCAACTCCACTGGCACAGGCGCGAGCACAATCATTGCAACAACGACAGTAACAGAGACAGTCACGGCAGCATCAACAACCGGCACAGGGACATCCACGTCGGCCTCGGCCTTTTCTGCTCCTACGAACGTGCTCCTGGCACTTGACTGCCCGAACATTGATGGATCAAACCAGGTGATCAATTTGGGCGACGACACCTGGACATTCGAAGCCAAGTGTGGATATGACTTCAACGGAGACATTGACATCCTCGCGGTGACGACGTACACGTTCCGCGACTGCATGAAGGCCTGTGCCTCGTATAACCGCAACAGGGGCAGCAATGACTGCCTCGCGGTGGAGTTCAGTGCGGACATGAAGAATATTGTGCCGAACAATTTTGGCACATGTTTCTTGAAGACAGGCACTGGAAAGCAGAATAATTACGGACGGAATACCAATGTCGGCGCGACACTTGTCTCCAGTTAATCATGATGACCGGCGTTTGGAAAAGACCTTGCGATTTCAGCGATACTTGAGCGACATTCTTGGTATATAATTTATGATGTGCCCCGGCAGTCACGCCTAGTGCCCGCTTAGGGCACTCCGAAACTGATAAGTTAGATTTGTCAGGGAAACATCTTTTTGGATGGACATGGAACTCAGAGAGTCCCTGATTATATTGGGTTGGTAGAGGTGTGAAGTTTAGCGTCTAGCTTCGCTTGATTTACTCGGTTCTAATAGATCTGAAGAATGTCATTAGAGAATGAAAGCATGACTAGGATTGACACATCATTGATCTAAGTCTGGGCCTTTCGATGTCGTTTGTGTGAGAGTTCAAGTCTGGCTTCATGATGGGAGGATTGTATGAGCATTTGTATGAGTATCTGTTTGAAATGCTGTGCCGCGACCTAGATAGTTCGGAACTCCACAAATGACTTAAATGACATAAGACGACTCCTCGTTACATCCTTTCTCACATAAGCACTTTAAACATCTTTGCCCCCAAGATTGATTACGATAAAGATTTGAGAGCAGGTTCTTATGGGTTTAAATCCTTGTATCGTGGAGCTCTTGTCTGGCGTTTTTCGCACTCCCTGCTCTGGCCAGTTAGCAGGGTGTTACACAACTGCCTATTTGGAGGTTACGATATGCTTCAACCCGGTTAGCCTATTTAACCCCCCTTCTCAGCTCTCACCGCGATATCAATTGGAGAAAGCTATAAATTGTCAACAACCCCAGCTCCCTTTTTACTACGTCGCAAAACCATCTTGCGGTCTGACTGAGATAGCGTGACTCAAGTCTTCACCACAGTATCCAAAAGATAGTACCATGATCGTGTCAACAGTCCCAGAGGAGGAGGGTTATATCACCTTCAAATACCCATCCCTGCCGAAGGAATGTCGCACCTGGTATCGGGTCGTCGGCGACTTGTCCTCTGGCCGCCGGCCGCTGGTGACTCTTCACGGCGGCCCTGGTGCGGGGCCTGTCTACCTGACTACGCCGTTTGACAAATACGCCGCGACTACAGGAACGCCGGTCATCTATTATGATCAGATCGGCAACGGGAAAAGCACGCACTACCGGGAGAAGAGGCTGGACGAGGAGTTCTGGACGGTCGATCTGTTTCTTGCTGAATTGGACAATGTGCTGCGCTACCTCAAGGTGCGCGACAACTTCGACCTGTACGGCCAGTCGTGGGGCGCGATGCTGGCAGGAAAATATGCATCCTCATCTTACGTAGAGGGCAGCGGCCTCCACAAGATAGTTCTGGGTAGCGGCCCGTGCAGGATGAAAGACTGGGTGAAGGCGGGAGAGAAGCACGTGGCTGAGCTGCCCGAGCATCTGCAGGAGGCGATCCGCAAGGCGTCGGATAAGGAAGATTGGAATAATCCCGAGTACAAGAAGGCCGTCATAGAAATTTACAAGGTGCACATGTGCAGGCTAGACCCCTGGCCACAAATCTTGCTCGACGCATTCGAGCAGCTCGAGTCGGACGACACGGTCTACATGACCATGGAAGGACCTGACGAGATCCACGTGACGGGCAGCTTGCGCGGTATGTTTAGATTCGCATATAAATCTATTCTAAAATCAGAGAAGTGCTGACCACATGCGTGCCGACAGATTTCGACTTGACAGAGGCATGCAAGGCCATCACTGTACCTTGTCTGATCATCAATGGCGAGTACGATCAGTGCGATGATGATTGCGCGAGGCCATGGTTTGAGGGAATCCCGAAAGCCAAGTGGATTACGATCCCCGATGGCTCACACATGGTTCATCTGGAGCAGCCAAAGAGATATGCTGAATTTGTATGGAATTTCTTGAAATAGCGATCGAGGTCCTGTGTAAAAGTAGCACCTGCAAATTCGATCTTTTTGGCAACAATTTTTGGAGACGGCAGGTCAAGGATATGATTCCATTTTAGGTAAATTAAGCAGAAAATAGTAACCAGAGTATCTGGCCCGGAGAAAATAAGAGTCATTCTCCTGGATGAATCTCTCGAAGCTGTACCTGGATGACTAAGCTGGAAAGACCGGTGACATCACGATCGACCTAGATATAACCAACTGGTCATTTTCACACACAAATTAAGACCTGGATACGCATGTTCACTTATACCATCAGCAAAGCCTTATTGTACTTAAGCGTCAGGAAATCACCTTCACGCCAATTCACAATGAGTTGGATGGACTCTTGGTCTCGGCCGTCCAAACAGCAGGCCACACCGGCACCGTTCTACTTGATCCCCGGAGCTGAAGACACCCCTTACTGCAAATCATGCGGAAGAGTTATGAGTACGCGCAAGGCGGACGCCAGCAAGGCGTCGAAGACCCCTGTCAAATACTGCTCTGCACGGTGTAGAAACAGCAAGCCTGGAAAGCTGGACAGGGACATTGAGCATGCTTTTGTCAGGTTTCTGAATGGGGAGGAGAAATTGACGGCGCGCAAGTCACCCACGAAAGCGAAGGGCGACAAACGTTTGCTAGTGCCGGTGGATGATGTGCAAGAGCATGTGTTTGGGCATAAACCAGACGAGGACACTCACCATCCGGAAAGCGCTCAAGACGAAGGGCGCGATGCACCGGACGACAGCCAACAGCCGTTACACGTTGAGAGAGAATTCAATGGAGATACTAGTGAAGATCCCGTTGAGGTTCCAGATTACGATGTCATTGCACGTATGTCAATTCGGAGCGGGTCGAGGATACGGCCGGCACAAACAGTGTCGGAAGTCAACGGCAGCGTAGGCGGTGAAAAGGGGCGGGCCGAGCGAATCGAAGAGACGAATGAGATGAAGGAGAAGAGAAGCCAAGGCTTGAAGGCTGTGAAGGAGAAAGAGATGGTCAGGTCGGCAGCGAGACGGGGTGTAGTGTTTGGCTTCGTTGTGAACGAAGGGCGCGATGGACACCCAGAAGAGAGGATGAAATGCGAGGCTGTGATGCACGGCAAGGTGGTCGAACCAAGCTTTGCCAAAGGGAACTGGAGCATCAGATGGAGAGAGTAATGAGGTGCAATCTGAATACACGGTTATTTTTGGACTACATCTTCTATCTTCGACAACGACAGCTCCCCCTTCCGTCCCCAGCCCTGCTGTCCCTTTGCGACGTTCGGACGAAACTGCTCATACATGTGGAATGCCTGGCTGTCCAGTTCCTTCTCGTCACCTTGCCAAGACTTTAGTGCCTCCAACATCGTGCTCTTCACGCGACGGAAGTCTTTCTCCCCGTACTTGCGGATTAGGTTGGCTTCTCGTGTCGTCCGTGGCTTGCCCTTGACGATAACGGCATCGCCCTCAATCGTCATTGGAAAACCCATGACTTCTAGAGTGAACTCTCCCTTTGTACCCTTGTCGGTCTCGTCCTTCTTCTTGTCTGGGTCGGGCTGCGAGATCTTGCCAATCGATCGTCCCTTAGCAATGGCGGTGATGGTGGATATACTGCTGCCGATGCTCAGGCACAAGTTCCACGACAGCTCAGGATGCAACACGCTCGCGACGCAGGCGCCCCATAGCTCCAGAACCGGGGCGCGGTTAATGAGAATAGGCTTCTCGAGCTTGTCTGCTGACTCGGTAGAGATCTGAGTCTGTTTGGTCTGTTTGCTGGACGGCTCCTTCTCTTGTGTTTTGCGCGCCTTGGTGCTTTTCGCGGCGCCGTCCTCTTCTTCAGGCACTGCTTTGCGCTTCCTCCCCGCTGTTGTAGGCCTAGCTGCAGGCTTGCTCCGCTTCTCTGCCTCTATAGAGCCTGAACCTTTGGCAGCCTTCTTTGGCGGCATGACGATAGTAGTAGAACTTCACATATACCGATAATCGAGAAAGATTGGTGTAAAATTGTGTGTCTGGGCTGCTGTTTGTTTTTCACTTTGGCCCCGCGAAGCATTCCCGTTTAACCTGACGTCATGATGTTAGTTGTGATCTCGTGTGCGCCGCAAGGACGAATGAGAACCACAGCACGGGTCACAGAGGCGAGAGAAGACGCGAAAGATTGACTGTATTGCATCGTGATCATATCGTGAGTGAGCTATCTAGACCGAAACCGTGCCGAACTGCAGTCTCCCTAGATTACAACTTTGGGTGCACTGAATTGCGGGCAGCCATTAACCCCCCTGAAAGCGAGCGCTATGAGTACCTGATCCTGTAGAAGAAAACGCCAGAACACCCCAACGTCAGACCGAGACCCGCTCACTCCTGCGCGATGGCAGCCGGGCGGCGCTTCTCGATGGCCAGCACGGTGTCGATGAAGCTGCGCTTGAGCACGCTCTTCTTGCGCGAGGCGAGCAGCTGCGCCGTCTTGAGGATGTTCTTGATCTGGCGGCCGTTGAGCTGCAGACGGGCGAGGTCGTCGATGTCGGCCTCGCTGACCTCGGCCTTGAGGGTGGCCGCCGACAGGAAGTTGCGCCAGATCTGGCGGCGCGAGTCGGTCGTCAGGTCCGGGTACTCGAGCGAGACGTGGATGCGCGACTGGAAGGCGGCGTCGATGTTGTCGACGCGGTTGGTCGTCATGAACAGGATGCCCTCGTAGTACTCGAGCGTGCGCAGGAAGATGGACACAACCTTGTTGCGCTCCAGGTCGTGCGTCGAGCGCGCCTCGAGGAAGACGTCGCACTCGTCGAGGAGCAGGATGGCATTCCACCGCGCGACGAGCTCGAGGATCCGCGACAGGCCGCTCTCTACCTCCCATGGCTCGGAGCCTAGGTCGCCTGAGCTGAGAGTGTGCAGGGGCACCTTGAGGTTCTCGGCAACCGCCTCAGCGGTTAGTGTCTTACCGACACCTGGAGGACCGGACAGCAGGCAGATGATGCCCTTGCCCTTTCCGGAGATGACATCGTCGAAGGCAGAGCCCTCCAGCTGAGACTCGGAGAAGGCAAGAATGAGCTCCTTCTGGTCCTCAGGGAGGACGAGCTTCTCAAAGGCGCTGTTGTTCCACTTGATCTCGCCTACGGTCTCGACAAAGAAGTCAAGCCACTTCTTCAGCGTCAAGCTGTAGCCACGAGTCCTCGAACGCGCCAGCATCTGGTGGTAGGGCGTCAGCCTCAGGTTGCCCTTATTCAGACCATGCTGTTGCTTGTATGTGGTGAGCCTCTCCAGGTCCTTCGCGTTCCACTCGCTGGTGTACCTCTTACGGTACGGAGAGAACCGGTTGAAGCTGTTGATATCAACGACAATCCGGCCCGACACGTTGATCTGGACCTCGTTGCCCTCTCGGTCCCAGGTGATGGCGGGGCCGTTGTAAGCCTTGTAGTGGTGGCCGGCCAGGTCCTCAAACACCTTGCCTCGCTTGATCAAGGCGGCGCGGATGGCGTCTCTCTCCTCATGGAATGCCCACGGGAAAGCGTTGAGGCCGGTGATCTTCTTTGTTCCGAGGAACTCTGGGATGTCGATCCGCTCTGTGTATCGACCGAAGTTCTTTCCGCTGTAGTCGACACAGTCGGCGCGCAGGCGGAGGAACTTGCCGCACTGGTTTGACATGTACTCGGACTCCTCGAGCTCAAAAGCAGACACCGGTCCCTTGTGAGCGGAGAGAATGATGGAGCCGGGCTGGAAGATCATCCACAGGTGCTCGAAGGTGATAACGCCGTTGAGCACGTAGTCCTCAAAAGCCTTAATGCTGTCGCCGATCTCGTACTTGAGAATATCGTGGAGGATGACGAGGTGCTCCTTGGTGGTGGTCTCCAGGTCCTTGCGCTCAATGTACTCGGTGAACTCTGCCCACCGGTGCACAAAAGGAGCGAAGGGAGCCTCAAAGACCAGGCGCTTCAGCTCGCATGCCACACCGGGGTAGTCGGCGAGGATCTCGCTGAGAGCGTCCTTCAGCCAGGGAGACTGGATGACGATGGAGTGGGCCTCAAGCTTCTTGCGGCTGTCCTGGCTCTTGATGTTGCGGACGAGGACGGCGAACTTCTCCGTCTCCTCGTTCTCGGCCGCCTCCTCGACGTCCTCGGGGTACTTCTCCGTCCAGGTCCAGTCGCCGTCCTTATCCTTGGCAGACTTGTAGATGTTCTTGACGGTGCTGATGGACCCGGCGGCAACAGGAGTCTCGGCCGCCTTCTCGGTGACTGTCTCCGTCTCGGTGGTACCGTTGGTGTCCTTGGCACTGTTGGTTGCCTCGCCATTCTTGGTGACGGGCTCCGAGCCACCCTTGGTGGGCTCGTGAGAGGAAGTGGAGTTGGCAGTCATTGTGTCGTGTGTATGTGCGGGATCATATATAAGATGAAACTGCCTTGAGGATGAAGAAGTGAGAGGTTTAGAGGAGACAGGAGTCCAACGGCGAGGCTGGCGGGCCTTTAAGTATCAAGTTGACAGCGATATCTGCACAGCCATGTGGGTAGCGGTAGGTCTCCATATCCATACAGTATGCAGGCGGGCATCTCACCTTATCCTGGTCTCACCTCGCCCACTTGGCTGCTCTGCGAATGGATAGACGTTTTGGCCTCATGCCTGTTGACCAGCAGCTCTCCTACTGGCTGGCCCATCCACTTGTCATACCGGGTTTTGCCATCGATCCATCCGTCTATTCATTCATTCATTGATTGTGGCAGTGAGTCACTCTCCGCCCGCGCAGATGTCTGGCGGGCTGCTGCCTTCGTCTCCAGCTCTGGAGGCGGCGGCCATGAGCTTGGGGCTAACGTTAGTGTAGCAGTGCCTGAGCAGGCGGCTGTCAATCCCATACGGCACATAACATTACCTAGGTAGGTATACCCCACAGCAACGCCCAATGGGGACCCAACAGGCAGTCAACGCTAAGTGAGTTAGTCTAGAACCAGGGGGGATAGTCGTAAGGCTCTTCATGAGGCCGCCTCAAGGAGCCTCTCGCCGCTTGTATGCATGTATGCATGCCTGCTTATGTTGCAGTGTGAGATTGTGGTTGGGTGTTTATTAGGTGTTGTGATGTGCTGCGCTGCGCTGTGTGAAGTGTGCTGTCCATGTCTATTTTCTAGGTCATGGTGGGGGTCTTTTGCGGAGAGGCTTGAGTGGCAAACCCTGGAACCGAGAGGCGGAGCGGGAGGGAGCCACCGGGAGCTACTGTACGGCTACTGTAACACAGTACGCTCATTACCCTAGCTTTGCCTAGCTTAAGCCTTGGGAGGCGTCTAACTGGGGGCTGCTTGATGCATGCATGCACGCCTGCCTGGACCGATTGCCCCTAACGTTTCTTGTGAAAGCAATGCCGCGCTCCCTCCATCTTCGCTAACATCAAGAACAACTTGATCTATGCGACCTCAAACCACTGCAGTCACAGGGCAAGATAATGCAGGGTTTTTGGGCAGCAGGGTCAGGCCTTGCTATGGCACGGCTAGTCGACGACGATGGGAGAATATCATAGCCTAATCAAGCTTGTAGCAGCCTTTCACGTGGCGTTCAGAAATTGAGCTCTAGACTACCGACCTAGACTAGGGAGCTCTGGCTGTTTTGGAGGAAGCAGTGCTGCCTACACAAGGCAAACAACCCTAATGGTCATTGGCAATCGAAGGATTCAACGATCAACATTCACAACGGCGAACAGGATCAGGTCTTGGCTTCATGACGAACGCACTGTGTATTTCTACTTGATAGTGCCTTGATGATCCGGCCAATTAGCCCACTGTTATTGACAGGTTGACAGGTAATGCGCGACACTACCGGTATGGTGAATTGGAAGAACTGGTCGCGGGCTTTGGAGATATCAAGGCAGCGATGTCGTGCTGTCTCTTTGTTGTGCAGGAGAAGAGAGCCATGCTAATTCACATTTACCTGGCTCTTACCCGATGATGAAAACGACCTGAGATGCGCTGGGCTCTGGGCACTAATCTCCAGATCTTGCGTCGCAACTCTGGAGGGATCTCTGAGTGTTTGGGAAAGGAGGCGAGTGGCTCCATTGTGTGACTGGGGGAAAAGGATACAACAGAGGGCTTCTGGTCCGCAGCTTGGGCAATCCTAGGTGTGTGGGAAGATGTCTTCTCGCGTAACAGGAAGGTGCGCTTTCAAGACCCAAGAAGATCAGGAGAAAGTGTATGTCATAGTTGACATATTGGACGTCATTGAGGACGTACTGTCCCGTGAGATTGGAATGCGACGAGGCAGCGCACCAAGACGGCTGAGCCAGACTTTCCGGGATTCACTGCAGGCACGGAGCGTCAGGAAGATGCCTTGATTCCGGGGTTGCGCGATCAATCAAAACGTCCAGCCCGGATGTCGGCGGTGATTCCGATCAAGTTTAGGATCCCATTCCAGGATCCAAAAATGCTCCCAGCAATATGCGCACAACAACAGCCCGACCATGCGTCGAGGCTGTGGCATGCACTCCCAGATTTTCCAGCGAAGCTCAGGGGGAAGACTCGAGGAAATCGTAAATTTCTGGAGTGGATACGCCATTCTGAGAGGAAGGATGAAAGTGTGAGGTGTAAAGTTGGGGTTGCGGGATGTGTATCTCGACGAAGAGAATCGTTAGGATGAAAACCTGGGTGGTATCATGACCAGAGAAGGGCTCCTGACTTACGATATCTATGACTGCTTCCTCGAAGGGCTAGATGTCGGATACCAACCCCTTCTTTTGTAGGCAATCAATAATTTGTATCTCAAGAAGAGTAGGCGGTTGTTTTCGAAAGCTCGAAGGTAGCCTTGCGCGTTTGTCGAGGCAACAAAAAAGAAGGCCGTAGATGCATCCAAGTAGTGGCTGGAAATTTTCGAGATGAAAACTTTAGACCAAAGTCATTGTTGGACAGATGAAATCTCCATTTTGTCGATGTATCTGTTCATGAATATTGCCAGGTAGGGCAACTTCCATTGCCACATGTGCTCTTACACATGGATCCCGGACATCAACAAGCCACATTAAAAACCAGCACATCTCTCATTAGCACAGTTCAGCATGTTATTCTGGGCTCTAGTGATACTGAGATTATTCGTTCATATACGATTTGAGAGAGTTGGCACTGTTACTTATTGAATGCTGAAAATTCGACGGCCGAAAGGGCGCTCCATTTAGGAGGAATCATTGGCGGATCGATCCCGCATCTATATTACAAACACATCCGAAAATCAATTGGCTGGGATCCTTGGACTTTCGATAATACATATCGAAGTCGCAAGTCTTGGCATAAAGCCTGTAAGACCATCTTAGGCTGTGTGATATGTGTTTTGAGCCATGTCACGGCATTGCAAAGAGACCGAAGACCAACACCCGTCTATAATATGGTAAGTTTGGTGTCACACTCAAGCGCTGCCGTTCTTCGCTCTCACTTCCAAAATGAAATGTGGTGGATAGTCGATTCCCCGCTACTTTGAATGACGAGTATATTATCCAGGACTTGGACGGAGCCTGGGGGTTTTCGTTTCTTTCTAACATTAACTTGATTTGTCATTCTACTGTTGCTTGTGGATTTCTTTCGCTTGCTACGCTGTACAGCCTGTACTGTACGGGCGCTGCCGTGCTCCACTGAAAGCTTTCTTGAGTTAACTGTGCTGAGTAACTAACCTGGTTCCTTCTCCACTGTCCGAGTTGGTGAATGAGGCTTCATTTCGCATCTTTGTCAGTCTGTATACTGGAGGCTAGTTTTTGCGACGGCAACCACTAGACCATGGATATATCATTGAGGTCGATGGTCACAACGGCCATGATGAAATAACCGGTAGAGAGCCAAGGCAAATCTCAAAATAAGCTCCCCTGACATCGACTTTTTCTTAACGCAATGCTTGGCAGTGTCTTCGTTCTTGGCCTTGCCGCCGTCGCCTCTGCCTGGCCGAAACCTCCAGCCCCGATTTGCAAGGAGATCGAGATACCAATCACAGTCTCGACACCTCGGTTCATCATAAACGCCACAATCGAAGACAATTGGGATGCAGCAGCACTCACCCTGAACCTCACTCGCCGCGACTCGGGCATGAGCGCCGACCCACTGCCCATCGCTGGCGCTACATCCACAGTGGAGGAGAGCACTTACACGATTGGAGCCACGCTCTGTGGCACTGGAGGGCCCATGTTGGTGCTTACTCACGGCATTATTGAGTCCAAGTTGTGCGTCGCCAAGACGTTGGACGGCTAAAGTTGTAATGGTAGGGCTAATTGAAGTTTTAGATACTGGCGACCGAATTTTCCAAGGGCCGAAAACTACAGTCTTGTTGACGCAGCCATTGCAGCTGGCTACTCAGTTCTTAGCTATGATCGCATCGGTGTTGGATCATCATCGAAGTGTGTTTGAGCCCCCCCAGTGTCAACCACACAACACACTGACATCTTGTCGTAGGGTCAGCGCTTTCTGGGATGCCCAATTCCAAGTAGAAACCGCCGTCCTCAATTCCCTTGTCGACTATGCTCGCACGGAAGCCAAGGCCTCCAAGATTGCCCTAGTAGGTCACAGCTACGGCGCATATCTTTCTGCTGCATCCGCGAGCCAGACAAATGTCGACGCTCTCGTTTTGACAGGCTTCAGCGGCGGATTCGGCAACTTTGGCCCTTTTGTTGCTGGTGCCGGTTTCCGTGTTGCGCGATTAGAGAACCCATCACGTTGGGGCTCCATGGATTCCGGCTATCTCACGTCGTCTGACCTCTATGCTGAAGCTTATGTCTACTTCGCCGAGCCGTATTTTGAGCACCACGTTGCAGAGTGGACGTACGATGTTGCCAGTGAGCCGTTTGCTGTGGGAGAGTTGCCTTCGCTGCTTGCTACCCCTCTCGACTATGCCAATATTACGGCGCCGGTGTTGATGCTCCAAGGCCAGTTTGATGTGTCTGCGTGTGGCGGCAATTGTGTCGGCCAACTTGAAGCCATCAAGGCCAATTTTACCAATGCCAAGACTGTTCAGACTGTGGACAACCTGCCTGCAGGGTATGTATCGCAAAATTCACTTTCTTACTCGTAATGCAAGGCAATCACTAATATTAAGTATTGTAGACACAATCTAAACTTGCACAAAATCGCCCCAAAAGCGTTTGAAATGATATTTGACTTCTTAAAGACACAAGGCCTTTAGGCATGACCGGATTCGTAATTTTGTAGATTTGTTGTATTATATATCATGGGCACCGTGTTGTACAAACTGTATTGCTAGCTAGCTTACTCGGCGCCTGCTGGTATTTACGAAGTGTTGGGCGGTGTCGTCGGGTAACAAATTTTGACATAGATCATGCCTACTTAGTCCTTGGTTATTATAGGCTGCTTAGGCTGCTGTATCGGCTTAGCCTTGGCTCAGTCTCGGCTTATCTTGAGCTGCAAGACACGCCTACCTGTGGGTTTGATGGCTTGTTTCACATTGCCTAGGACCAGCCGAAGAGCTTAATCTTTTAGCTAAACAAGACACTAGTGTAATCTTCGGTTTAGGTTTACTGTCTCCTTTGGAGACAGTTCCTTGGACGTGTTTCTATTTAGAGGATGTTTGAGTCTCCCCAATTAAACTGAATCCTGACGTCTAATTAGTACGATAGGTTCTCTAGAGCCGAAATCTGCTACCTCTACTGCTGGCGAGCTTCTGAAATATGTGCTGAATCGGCCGTCGTGGGCTTGATCTATGTCTTGATGGTGCTTGGCGTGGGCCACTGCGGACGCAAAACGAAAAGGCATGGGTGAGCTTGGGGTGGCCCGGTTGTGTACTATAGCCGCGCACGAGCAGACTGGCGCACGGGAGAACCAGTGTTGCTTGTATGGCAACTTCATAAATGCCTACGCGGAACTCCATGCTTCTCTGCTTCCGCCGTGACAGGTTGGAGTATCTCTACGTGAAGCCCCTTAAGTTATACCAACCAAGGGATGTGAATCCGCTGCTTTCGCTCACTTAAAGATGATGTATGAAGAATGCGGACCTAATGAGCTTGCCGCCTCAGAGATACTTGGGAATCCTACTGTATTGGCTAGGTACGAACTTGAGAACATTGACCTCACCCGACCCTTTTGCCTGTCGCCAGTGGTGTCCCTAACTCGTCGGGAACTAACGCACTCACTGAAGCATAGGTCTGTCGATAAAGATCTGGGAGACTATCAACTCCAATTCACAACTGAGGATATATGGAAGCCATTAAATAGACACCAATAAACGAACATAAACCTACAGAAGACGCTTATAATACAGAAATTAAATTAGGGGCAGCATCGCCTCACTCACGAAGAAGAAAATAGGCGAGGGCAAGATTTAGGCAACATTATTGTCTAAAATAACCCCTGAGGTTGACCAGCCTTTTTTTAAAATGGAATTCTTGACGTGAGTGTTCATCAAATGGTGATGAGATTGAGTAATCCTCCCTTGTGGTGCATACTCCCTACCCCTTCATCATAGTTCTGGCGTACCTCGAGTTCAAAGTCACAAGACTCTACATGTGCGACCACGATACATAGTGTTCAGGCTTGCCGGGCGCTACCTAGCGTTTGTGGTGAGACATCACCTCTGAACAGGGGCGACGTACATTTCGAGAGGCCCTCTGTCCCAAAGATTGTAGAACCTTTGCTTCTCAGCCCAACCGATATACTCGGGGGGCATCTTGAAGTCAAAGTTAAACAGCAATAGTGCGAGAATGGTGCGCATCTCAGCAATCGCCAGGCTGGATCATCCAAGCTGTCAGTGATTGCTAGTTCTTTGGCTTTCCTTGAAGGGTTTGCAGATAGGGGCTCTGTCTTCGACTCACTTTTTGCCAATGCAATTCCGTGGGCCAACCATAAACGGCTGAACAATATCGAGCTTGTCTGAGGCGAACCTCGGATCCCCAAGCCAGCGCTCCGGATGGTACTCGTCGGGCTTGACAAAGTTGGCGGAGGAGTGGTAGACTCCCCAGTGGTGTATAGAGACAATCGTCTGTGAAGATTTAGCAGCTGCAGGGGGCAGCAAGAGGTGAGCACGTCACTACATACACTTTCAGGGACAAACTCGCCCGCAATACTTGTCCCTCCCTTCATCACCTGGCGCGGCATACCACTTGCGACAGGCGGGTACCATCGAAGAGCCTCGTTGAGACAGGCAACCATATACGGTAGGTTATCCACCGCGGCGAAAGAGATGTCATTCTGCGATTTGAATGACGAGCGGATCTCGTTTGTCACTCTTTCTAGACAGTGCGAGTTGCGTTGTAATAGGTAGAGTGTGACGGCAACCAGGCTCGACGTCGTCTCGAAACCAGCGCCGAGAAGAAGACCTGCCGTAAGCATCACCGTCTGTTTGGGCACAATCTTGGCCATTGTCAGTACGATGATTTATTAGACAGCACAATATACCGTGGAAATAGTTCAAAGATTCACCTGGTCTTTTTCCTTCAACAAAAGACCTTCAATCAGATCTGGTCGCTGGACCGTCCACTCCATCCTCGCAGCCACTGTCTCGCCGACATAGGTTTGAAATTGGTTGTTTTGCGGACTTCTGCCATTGAATGTCTTGATGTAGTCGCATAGCCAACCTGGTAGAACCATTCTTCGCAATGTCGCATCCATGGCAACTCGTGCACCGGGGCCAGTGAAAGCATTGACCCAGAAGCGGTGATCAGGCTTGCGGAGGCAGTCAAACGATGCGCCAAATCCCAAATCGCCTGTATCGTGCAAAGAAAGCAAAGCTTAAGCATAATAGATCTGGCAGAGGGTAGTAGATTAAAGCTCACCGATAATATCAAAAGTAGTATAAGAGACCCAGTCTCTCATATTGACGCGCTTCTCTCCGTTCCCTCCTACCTCGCGCAGCTGTGACACGAGCAGGTCTACGTGGCTCCTGATCATGCTCTCCTGAGCTCTCAGGCTTCGATCAGAGAAGCCATGGCTCAATAGCCGCCTCAAATAAGCGTGCTCGGCCCTCGGCGCGCTCAGCATGCTTCGGGGGGCATTCTTGCTACCAGCATACGCCACGATCCACTTCTCGTTCTCGTCCTGGCTATCATGCTCACCGATGCGGTGTCCATAGATATCCTTCCAGGCTGTGGTGTCATTGAAGGCGAGCTCATTGGGGGCGATACGCACAACGGGACCGTAGCGGTCGTGCAAATCGCGCATCCTATGGTGCAAGGTGCCTTTTCTTGCATGGTATATGTATGTCAATCGGGTCGCGCGGTGCGCGAGCGGACCTGGATATTTGCGCAGTGGGTGCAGGAAGATGTTGTAGACTACTTGAAAAGTAAGCCGCAACAAAATCTATTACCACATGTCAACAATACCGTTGCTTGCTAGGGAAACTTTGACCGACACCAAGCGGCCTTCTAGAGACTAACGTACCAGGATGAAACCTGCTGCTGCTCCCAGAAACAAGTACATGGCTAGAGACTTTAACGTAGCGTTACAAGCTGCGTTAACACTCGTTCTCTATATTGTGTTTAATCGCCGACAATGTGACAGCGTCGAGAACAGCTGTTGATTTGAGATCAACATGGAAACCCTCGAGTCGTAGAGAAAGACTGGTGGGGTTCTGGCTGTGCCGTCGTTTATCAAAGGAGGACAACAAATCACTCTGCTCGCATTGGAAACGTCGGAAGGATTTCCAACATCCCCCGCCGCAAGCTAATATCTCACCCTCGCGACCGGTTGGGTAGGCTAGACGAGGGTCATCCAGTTCAACAGCATCTTTCACCATGGTGCTGAGGAAGGAAGCTTAAATGGGGTGTTAGTGCTGACGCAGGATCACTCCCAGAGTATGACGTCCAGTTTCACCACTAACCTTCCGTGGACAGTAAACTCGTAGATTGTTAAATCCGATTATGCAATTCCGATATATGTATAACACCGAATTATTATTTCAACAATATCATTGCCAGTATATGGGTTAAGCAAGGCACAGCCATATGCTGTCTTCGACTAATCTCAGTGCGTTATCTAGACCAATTCACTGACAAGTGGACACTGCAAATCATGGCTACGACACGGTTTTGATAGGTCTCATATACAACTGCTAAGTGTCCGCATCGCCGAATCTCGTCATAACCTTACTGTGGTATACCATTGCCTAGCAAGAAAGCCGACCGACTTAGAAGGAAGAAGGGTCGCAAATAGATCGGGGTCCTCTCTCACGCAAAAGAGGTGCTGATAATGTTGTGAGAGAACTGCTCGAGTTCTCTTTGGATTAAAGTGATGCGGTCATACAGGGCCCATCGTACTTCTGTCTATCCCCCTTTGTCAGTGCAAGTGTATTGTCGAAATGAGAAAAATCCGAAAAGTGTCATCTGACCAATCATCGCAAGTGTGGTTAAGTAGTACTCTGCTACCGGCTCTAGGTTATTAGAGTTAGCTGTAGATTAGATCAATACTCTACCAACTTGATTTAGCCGTAAACGGAGCATCCCTAAGTCTTTGCCATTAAAAGACCGTATTAGACAGGTATTCTGCAAATAAAAGCTAAAGTGACTAGGTTTTCTTGATTCTAGCCCTGAAAGTCGGAGAACTCCCATCACCGAAACATACGCAGCTTCCTACTCCTATACGACTGCGGTTTTCCATCAATTTTGACTTCTAACTTCGCGCGCTATAATTTAGAATGCTTGACATGTTGTCATTCGCCCTCGTGGGTGTTGCCACTCAGCTTGTCACGGCTTCGCCTGTGGAACTCACAAAGAGAGCAAGTCCAGCTGTATATTTAGCTGGGGACAGCACAATGGCTAGGCTTGGAGGAAACAACGGGAAGACCGACGGTAGTCCTAGCACGCAGCATCCCTCATATGACTACTAACCCAGCTATAGGATGGGGCTAGTATCTTGCCAAGTATTTGACTGTTCCCGTTGTGAACAAGGCTATAGGTGGCCGGTCAGCCCGCAGCTTCTCGGATGAGGGTCGCTTCACCGAGATAGCAGGGTTGATCAATTCGGGTGACATTGTTATCATCGAGTTCGGCCACAATGACGGCGGTTCCCCTAATTCGGTTTCTGACAATGGGAGAAGCGATTGCCCAGGGACTGGTAGCGAGACATGTGTATCGGGAAAGAACGGTGCAACTGTTTACACTTTCGGTCATTATGTGGAGGCTGCTGCCAAAATGTACATTTCCAAGGGTGCATCTGTCATCGTGAGCAGCCAGACACCAAATAACGTATGGGAAACCGGATCATTCTCCGACGCTGCATCTCGATTTGTCCCATATGCAAAGACAGCGGCTCAAAATGTTGGGAGCGGAGCAAGCTTCGTGGATCATTTCCAGTCGGTGGCTAATATGTATAAGAAACTGGGGGCAGCAAAGACAAACGCCTTGTACCCAAGCGATCACACGCATACAAGTCCAGAAGGCGCTGACCTCTGTGCTCAAGCATTTGTCCAGGCAATCAGCAAGGATTTGAATGGCACAACGCCACTCAAACAGTATCTGAAGAGCGACAATCCAGTAGTCTGGTAATCGCATACTACTAATGATGCTGAGTTTTCTTTTACTGAAAACAACTCATGAGAGCTCTATGATTGTGTCACATCCGGAGAACTGTCATCAACATAAGGCATCCGAAAACGTATTGACTCGGCTGATACAACTTGAAATGTTTTGGACTCATGCTACGCTATGACTTTGCTAGTGCCTTCAAAGGCGATGTGCCGGGGTAAAAGCTTGCTGGGATCGTGGGAATGGGGATCTCAGATGTGAATCCAAATGCAGTTTGAAGGTCGTTCGGCATTTTAGCTGCAGTATAGCTTGCAGGGGCTGCCGATATTGTTTGAGTAGCTGAATATGTTCCGCCAGATCCCGACTTCAGACATGCGCCTGAGCCGTATGCATTTTGGCATATGTACTTGATGCTAGAGCCCTTCTCCGTCCACATGGCGAAGTCTGAGACTGTCATGGATGTGCATGGGACATCGGCGTCGCATTTGAACTGGATTGGTCCACGCGCGATTCCATCAGCACAAGTTCCTTTCCAGTTCGAGAAGGTCATGTTTGTCAGCTGGACGCCGCTCCCGGCTGCCACAGACTGTGAAGACCATGCCTGGTCAACATTGAGCGAATACGCAGTCTTGTAACCTATGAAGTCCTTGAACTGGGCGTTCTTTACGGATCCGCTTCCACCGTTCGACTTGATCATCATCATCTGGTTAGCATTGGATGTGTAGACTTTCTGGTAGAGCACATTCGAGATCGCAGTATTTGCGCCAAGGGAGCCGATGGCACAGCCGCCAGACCAGTTGCAGTAGATCTGTTCGATGAGTATGTTGGAGGAGGGCGATTTGACAGTCACACACTCGTCTCTGTTTGTGACCATTACATCGTGCACGTGGATGTTAGTTCCTGTGACATCCAGACCGTCCAAACCTCCGTGGTCACCTCCGCGTATGGCAAGATTGTACACCTCTCCATTGCTGGAGTTGTCCAGGATAATATGGAATGCTGGGGCGTCAACAAACGCTAGATCATGTACAGAGAAATTCTGTGACTTGACGACTCGCAGTAGGCGACACCTAAATATTGTCACTTAGCGAAAAGATTGTAGCGAAGTTGATCTAATCACTGAAGATACATACCCACTGAGACTTCCAGTTTTGTGAATCACATAGCCGTACCCCTGCATGGCCCCTTTTCCGGTGCTGGAAAAAAATTCAATGTCGTTCGAGTTTTGAATGATGATCATATGGCCACCAGCCGTCCCAGTGCGGTATATGATTCCGTCGAGTTGTATACCTACACCGGTCCCTTTGTCGAGCGTCGCCCAAGTTGACATTGCGAAGTCCCCAGCCGGTACAAAAACTACCCTTGATCAGTGTTCGATCCATATTTGCTATCCTAATCAGTGAACACTCACCAATGCCACCCGAAGCACATGCAGTCCATGCTTTACTCAGAGCTGGACCGAGATCGGTGCTTTTGTCTGCTTTTGCACCATAGTCGAGCACATTGCAGACCTTTTTGGCCCTCTTCGCGGCGGTAGTGGTCGTAGGACCAACACTTCCATTCAGCTGAGCGAAAGTGGGCAGTGGGCTCAATGCCAAAAAGCTTAGGAGTACATGGGAAAGAAGTTTGTTCATTTTGAAGCAGCGCAACGCTATAGCGACGAAAGGAATGGGTTGAGCTCAGCGACGAGGTACGGGCACGCCATGAACAGAGTTACGGTATTATGGCTTAATAACTAGGGAGCAGTGGCGAGCTTGTATTCGTTATCTGGATCACTTTTATTCGTATTCTCAAGGACTACACAATTGTTCGATTTCATCTCCACAGAAGTTACATAACAGAGGGGCTCCGATTTATTCCACCACATGTATGCCGCCATTTTGAAGGTTACTGCCATTTGCAGGTACTACTTAGACACGGGCCCACCTCCCTGGAAACGCTGGTGGAATGAGGGGTGCTTGAGATATATTAGCATGTCAGCCTGAGTGAGCACTGCACCTGGTGAAATTATCCAGTAAAATTACTCGGGCATTTATCTGCGTTAGGGATCGCATGGATACCCTTTCGAATATCCCAGGCGTTTCCAGGTTTCCAGGCCTTCCTCATGGATTCTCCTAATGACAATCTTTCCCTCAACGCTGCTCGGCCTCTCGCGCAAGAGTGTCACATTCACGATGCTGATTGCAGCAACATTCACTGTCCTTTCATGTTGAGCATCAATCAGCAACTCAACGGCCACGGAGCCGCATGTCCGCTCCGCATCTGTTAGCTCCGGTCGTCAATTTTGCATTCCTTGTAGGCATCACTGCCGGCGGGGCTCATATATTGCGTCGCATTCATAGGGGCTCAGAATGTCGATTAGACCGGACCCGGATAGTAGCCCAGGGGATGACGGAGCCGTCAGTACGTTCCGAATGTACACCCGTCCAGTAATGAATATGTGCACATCCAGCTCTTTCTTCAGTCCATGATTAACATCGATTACAAATGTGATGCGTTTCTCATTGTTTGTGCATCGAAATAGTCTACAAACAAAATACGTCACCAATTCTCCTTGAGTCATAGCGTGATAACAAGCTTCTTAGCCGAACTCCCCTTCCTAATTGATCCATCGCCGGTTGCAGAGCCTCAAGTCCCTTGCCAACGACTTGGACCTCGGGAGCTGGCTTGAAATTGCCCGCAGCCAGCGCTGCTGATAGGTACTGGCCGTAAACTTTATAGCCAAACTCCCGCTCGCTGCGTAACACTGTGGCGTTGACGAAGTTGGCCTTCACGCCATTAGGCAAGCCACTCGGTGGTGGTGGCATGTTCAAGGCGACGAATTTGGTTCCCTCAGACCCAGCTACAACTTCAATATATGCAGTCGCTGCGGCATTGCGGCTCTGTGCATCAACGCTGGCAATGGCCACCGCACCAGCGCAGATCTTGCCTTTGAAGGCAGTGAGCAATTCGTCTTTTATGGTTGGGCTGTTGTATTCAAACACTTCAGCAGCCCCGAGCGCCTTCATGTAATCGAAATTCTTTGGTGATGCTGTAGTGATGACCTCGTTCCCCGCTAACACGGCGGCTTGTATTGCATTGCTGCCAACACTGGTTGAGCAACCCCAGATCAGAATAGTCTTCCCAGAGGGTTTGACTTCCACGCCCGGTCGTTCGAGCGCCAAGTAATTCTGATGGAAGAGGCCTAGCACTGCTGTCGTATATCCTAGTGGAATGACAGCCGCTTGCTCATAGGGGATGGTGGCTGGGATGATGGTAGCCATATGATCCGACATGGTAGAATATGCTTGAAAAGCACCAGAGACGTGTCCCACCACACGATCACCAACAGCGAAGTGGCTCACGCTAGGACCGATTGCGACGACTTCACCCGCAACGTCCGAGCCGATGACGCCTGGTATTTTTAACCAGGGGAATACAGATGGCCCCATTTTCTGATAGGCAATGTCGATGAGGTTAATAACGACTGCCTTATTGTGGACGATGATCTCATTTTCACCGGGTTCAGGGTAAAGAGCCTCCTTCACTTCCAAAGGCTGGCCAACGGCGAGGAGGTATACAGCCGTATTAGTAGGCATGGTTCGTGCGGTGTATCGTGTGCTGTTGGTTGTAAGATAAGCTTGAGCTGAAGATGCTGAGGAATTGTGCAGTATGCTGTAAGTGTTGGTGACGTACAGTATCTTGTCTTTATAAAATAGCAGTTGAATACCGTGCAAAGAGAAAGATTTACAGAACAGAGGCGCAGCATCTCCAACATTCTGGGCTAGGATCAAGATCGGAGGACCTACTAGACCGAAACCTATTGCCTCTCAAGGCATAAAATGATCAGTCACATTTATCTGCGGTATATCCGATGCTCTTGAGCCCACGCGCCGGGGCGGGACAACATTTGAATCCAGCCTGGTATAGTTGGGAAGTTAGACTTTCCGCCGGCGCCGTAGTTTGATATCGAATCTCATTCGACATGGAGAGTTGATTACATCATCACAGACTCGTAGCTTCGATCTGTTGTGCGCTTCTTAATATAGACGAAGCACGCGTATTTCGTGAGCTGCTGTCCTTTTAGCTTGACGATTCAAGACACAGAAGCCCCTGATGTGACTATCTGCATGATGAACTAGACTTGTACGTTGTAGAGCCCTAGACGCCCTCTTGAATATCACTGTAACGGGCGTGGCCGAATATAATCTAAATTTGACCTAGTCTGGTCCAAATTCAACTCCTATGCTTCTGTCCGTTGTAATCCATATATGATGCATTGAGTAGAATCTGTATAAGAGATCTGAGTATCCGGAGCTAGAAGCAGGTATAGCACTTACATCATGGATTCATGTCGAATACTCTTTCATACGACGAGGTTACTGCCATTCTTTCGGATATCCTTCCAGCGCATACTAAATGCAGCTACGAACGCTACACACCCGGCGTCAGCAACCAAATAGAAGACACGATCGAGACTGTTGGAGTAGGCAACGAGAACCCCTGGCAGGTCCGAAGCATCGACAACATCTCGGAATTTCGTGGCGCCCGCGTAATGATAGTCGTCGCATTCTCATCGGGTGCGTTTTCAGCCAGTTGAGTCTTCAGACTATTGGTGAAGATAGTGTTGTATACAGTTAGAAAAATCGTTGGTCCATATACTGTGCCCAAACTAAGAAGGCCATAGCGATAGACAATTCTTGTTGTGAGACGGCATATTGAGTGGCCGCAATTGGCTAAGACGAGGTTTGAATACGTCAGTCATGGCCATTCAAGGATCATGTGAAGTGACCCACCATCTGAAAGCTAACACCACGCCCTGCACCAGTTAATATATGATATCCCACCCATTTCCCTGTAGGAGTGTGCGGTTGAAATAGAGCAAATAGGCCGCTGCCCACGGCCGTGAGAGTAGCTGCGTAGATCGCAGATGGCGGGACACGGCCAACACGGGTGACTAAACAAGAGAAGAAAATTGTGAGCAAATTTCGCGATGAAGCATTATCAAACAGAAAATCCTTACCAAGCACGCCAGAGAGTACGGCGAGGAGAAGCTGTGGAAGAATCGTTCGGAGAAGGAACACTCCACCCATGATTGCATTCACCCCTTTTACCGCCTGAAAGTAGATAGGGAGATAAAACGAAGAACCGAAGAGTGTCGCCATTAAAAATGAGTAATTCAAGGCATTGGCCCAAATGACTTTTCGCTTGATTATGTAGAACGGGAGCAAAGCTTCCTCTCCCTTCTTGTGATTCCATACAATCCAGAAGAGGATTGTCACACCTGCCCCAACAAAAAGTCCAATAACTTGGGAGGAGTTCCAAGAAAACCGATTTCCGCCATATTGAAGAGCTAGAAGAAACTCTATTGTAGCACCAGCAAGCAAAAGAAATCCAATCAAATCCAGATGATGATGTATCTTCGGCAGAATTTACACAGTAGGTTTCTTCGGGACTAGTTCCGCGATGCGTGTAAGCATAATGGGAACCGCAACTAAGACTTCTAGTGGAAGGTTGATGTAGAAGCCTGAATCGCATGTCAGATTATTGATTTCAAGGTCTATAGCTCATCTCTTGACACAACACTTACACCAACGCCATGTATAACCGCTCGTGAATGCTCCTCCTATTAGGGGTGCGACGACGTTGCCAAGCTGAGTGACTTGTAAAATGTCAGCAGGATGATGACAAACAGGACTTTCAGGTCATGTGTAATGACTTACTTCTCATCATCATCCCTATCAGAGCTACAATCGTGTTAGGAAAAGCATCGGCCAGTAGGGGCTGTTGCCGCTTCTGGGAGACTTACGAGGACGTCGTTGCAATGGCACTGAGGCCAATACTATGTTGACACCACCGTTTAGCAAACCTGAAGTCCCGGCACCAGCCACCGCTCGACCGACAATTAGCATCGTGGACAATTGCGCTGCACCGCAGAGCACTGAGCCGAGCTCGATACTGCAAAGTATACCAGAAATGACCTCTAAATGCATTAGTAAAGATCACTCGTATCTTGGAAGGCATGGTCCAACCTTAAGGCGAAAATGATGGTATATTTTTCCTGTCAGGGGCTGGAGAGCTGCGCTATCTGAGCTGGGGTTAGCGATCCCTTCATGGCATATACTTTTCAGTTGATGTTTAGGGGATCCCCGATAGAATTGCCGCTACATACCTTCCCAAGTCGTAAGCGCTTCCGTACCATTCAATATCGTCGATGGACTGGAATTCATCCGTAATCTTGGGATTGCCTGGTATAATTCAGTCGTTAGACGGCCTGATTGAGACAAGCACAGAGGTGGGCTTTCTTGCTTATGCGTTCGTGTCAAGGTAGGCGGATTACTGACCGTTCCAACAATGGAGGTATCCAGAAGCATCAAAAAGCAGGCAAGGTATACTACGACAAGTGCGAGGGCTAACTTGGCGCCTGAAACGAATTGTTGTTCATTGTCTGTATTTTCCTTTGAATGGTCTGCATTTTCAGGTGCCAGATGACACTCTATTTGATGGACCTTCTCACTGCTGGCTCGTGGGGGAGTAGTATCCGCACCAACACTATTCATATGTTGTTGCAACCTACTGGAGGTTGTTCTGGGCTGATCTTTGGTGTCCATGGCCGGCTGGTAATCTTTGGCTTTTCCTCCATAATTCGAAGTGTAGAAAAGCACCTTATTACCAAGTGTGAATCGATATATGCAATATGGAGATTTTTATAGAGAAAAGACAAGTCTTGTCCATTAATTCACAGCATTGTCACAGCCTCCGAATTTGAGGATATTTACAAATAATCACTCAACCTTTGTCAATCAGTCAAATGTTCATTTTACAAGCCTATCCACAAACACGGAATAGGAGTGCAAATTCTGGTACTATCCGCCGGCCTATCAAAGAAGGATGACTGTTCAGGTGTCACTAAGGATTTATGGGGTGATGATCTAGGTCAAGAAGAATGTCTAGTCTTCGGACCCGCTCTTCACATGGCCCCCAATTTCCGCCGCAAGACAATTCTTTCCAGCGCCAACTGACATAAGTCATACGCCGCAGTGAGGTACATTTCCGACTCGATCGACCACCGGAGCCTCCTACCTTCCTTCCACATTGTATGCTCCAACTGTTTTGCGCTAAAATGCTCTGAAGGATAATGACCAGGTGAGCTGAGGCATTTTCACACCGGAGAGATTATGTATCTAACTTTAACCAGTGGACAGACACAATCTTACCCCAGCGGAGCTGGCCCTGACCGGCTCGAGGCGAGCTTGCACTAATTGCGCCCATGTCAAGTCGAAATGCACTTTCCGTACCGATCCTGGCGTCTATGAAAGGTACCTGCCCTGCTTTGCCTTTTGTCTTTTCATGCCTATCCTTCGTTACAATCGATCTTACTGCTTCCTGCTCCTGCCATGACCACAAGCCGGCGATGAAAGGGGGCAAGAGAGAGACGGGGCTCTTCCTCTCCTAAATTACGCTGATTTTTCAACACGAGCAAGAGGCAGGCATATCATGGTATAGTGATATAAGCTAATGAATCTAGATGCCAACGACTGAACAAGGCCTGTTCTCCATCTACGTCCGCAAGACCGCGCGGCGGGAAACGGCATGCTGGAACACGCGTGGCTCGAATTGAGGAAAGACTGAACGAAATGGTGTCTATTTTGAAAACCCAAAGCAGATCGAAGGCTCAAGATATAGATCTCACCAATGCAGACTCAGAAGTCGAAGACAGTGAACCTCGTGATCCAATATCACTTGCTGGGCCAAATTCCCTGACATCAGCGGTTTTGGAACCTGCGCATGCCGACGATGAGAGGCACGGGGATTGGGTTTCAAACACATTATTCACAATCAATGCGACACCAATCTCGGTCTTCTCTTATGACGACGAATCGTCCCTATCAGAAGCAGAAGAGATGCTGAAGAGGTTTCGGGACGAGAGGATCGTGAGTTTTCCCCCTCCATTGGACCTTCTCCATCTACGAAACCGTCACTGCAGGCAGATGAGCAAAGGCTTACAGTAACGATAGCTCGTCTTTCCCTTCATACATGTCCCTTCACATGTAACCTCCTTGCAGCTTCGAGATACCCGTCCGTTTTTGTTGCTGAACATCATGAGCACAATGTCTTCCTCGCCGAAGAGACGGGCTGCCCAAGGAGATCAGGCGAGAAACATTGTCATACAGAAGATCATAATCAACAGAGAGAAGAGCTTGGATCTCCTGCTTGGGCTCCTCACCTTAGTTGCTTGGTGAGCATTCATCCTGCTTGAGTATGTCGTCTACAGAACCCGGCATTGACACCGGTGACTCCATACAGGTCGCACCTACGATTGGGAGATAGGAAGTATATCTCCCTCTTTATACGACTCATTGCCACAGTTGTCTGCGACTTAGGTCTCCAGAAGCCGGAAGATAACTTCACCAATTCTACGCCAGTCTGCCTTATCATCAAGGAGAATGGCCCAGTTCGATTCCCAGCTTCCCGGAAGCGGCGCACCGATGAAGAGCGATGAGCTGTGTTGGGCGCATTTGTTCTGAATTCCATGTAAGCTCTCTGCTCTTACCAGTCTCATTTGTATCTACGATTCTGACTATATTGTAGGCTTTCCTTCGGCTTCAAGCTCAACGATAGCCTGCATTGGTCTTCGGCTTTCGACGACTATTTGGTTCAGCTCGCAAATAATAGTACGCCATCTCAAGACAAGGTCTTAATTGCCCAAGTCAAGATGCAGTTGGTCATTAATCAAATCCATCATGCCGGCTGGTCGGCAACGGGCGCGACTCCTCCTGCCCTTTACCTTTCCGCGAGTCGATCACATCTCTAAGATCTAAATAAAGGGGCAGAAACCAACAACCGTACGTCAGGGCAATACTCATCCTCATTACGAACAATGCACACTCGCTAACATTCATAGCCGTGATCCGGGGTTTATTCCACTTTGTCGAACTTCTAATCAATGAATCCGCAATACACAAACCAGCTTTGCCCTGGAACGAGCCCGACCTACAGCGCTTTGATACCTATCAACGCTGCCTCAACTCTATCAAGGCATGGCTTGATGTCTTCTTTTCAGTTCCCATGAGCTCTTTTGCAAACTTGTCCCTAACTACATTCCAAAATCTCATTCGTGTAATGGCATGTTTACACCGTCCATCTACAACCGAGGATCCAGCATGGGACAGAAAGGCCATCTCCGCGCCGCTTGACCTGATCCCCACTTGCGACAGAATTATCAATTTGTTTGAAGGTTTGAGGACGATGCCGGTAACGGGATCACTCGAAATTACAGACGAGTGCTGGAGCTTCAGTATCAAAGTACTGACAACTTTAAGGATCGCTTGGCTTGCAGAGGTGAATAGTCCCCAGGAAATCAGCGTTGGAGATCAGGCCATGGGCCATTTTCAAAACGAGATGTTCGGTGACTTCTGGATGTCAGATATGTTCAATGCTTCTTGGGAATAGCTTATTTGTGAAATATGATCGTGGGCTTGCCGGGGGCTGTACAATGTCTATGACTTATGAGATAGCCATGAATGTAACCCCAATAGAACGTTTATGTAGATTAATCGGGACCCGTGTGGGTAAATCTTGAAACGTGATATCAAGTCTCTTCTTTCTAGTCTATAATACGTTAGCTTGTGTTGGAAATATGGATATCCAGAGCTCTATCCAAGCCTCTATCACCTTTGTAGCTCCCTTTAGGAGCTCAATGAAGACAAAACTCTACCTCATGCTCACAACAAGATGTTGTTGCGAACAATGTAATTTGCTGATAGAACTCACTAGAAGCAGAATAGTGCTCGAGATGATTGTTTGAGCTGTCAAAATATCACTTGTTAACAGTAGAGTAAGCCATATTCACATCATACAGCCCGGTCCGGACTTCTGTAGGACCATTGAAGCAGCCTAAGGATCCAAAGATGTGAGGTAGTTCTTGTGGCAGATTTCTCCCCAGAAAACTTCCCAAGGCAACCAACCTTGATCCCTCGAAGTTTTCTTCGTTGCTTTTTGTCCTCCTTCTCCCCTGCTATATCGCGACTCTTTGATAGCAACTGGAATGAAAGTACCGCCGCCGTGGTATCGACTGTCACTACATAGTCAACGACCAAGATTACGTTCAACTATAACGAAGCTCACTTGCCCTACCCTCAGCTCCTTGTCAGCGCCTCTTAGAACATCGTCTACAGCGTTTCCATCCCCAATCATGGCCGAAGCACCGTCTTCGGACTGGCCGCTGAGGTCATCAGGAAGCAGTCAATACGTTCTGACGTACGTACGGCCTTCAGCCTCACGATCGTCGGCCGGTAGGGCACCACACTCTACAGAAGCCGTAACTTTCGGTATTGAGATTGAGATGATTGTGTCTGCCACCAAGGGCCCTTATGGACATCTCAAAGAGTTGCCGGCTTCTATGAGCGTCGAATGGGACCCTAAGGTCTGTCAGAATCAACGCACGCCATTGAGGATCCCAGATAGACACATCGCCGTCTTCCTCAGAGAGAAGAACATCAAGGCTATGACGATGTGGGAACGAGTTCAGATTGATACTACAGGAGCGCTCAGAGACAGATTCCCTGCCAAGGGACACTACAAGGATCGAGGCGCATACGATGATTACTTTCTTGTGAAAGGAGATGCTTCCATTGAAGTCGAGCAAGCTCCCAATGACAAGGACACTCCAATCGGCATCGAACTGAGCACCCCTGTGCTTCCTTTCATTCCGTCTTCCTTGGGCTTGATCAATGAAGTACTATCAGCTCTGTTCGAGGCGTTCGATGTCAGTGTCAACGCCTCTTGCGGGCTTCATGTGGTATGTCGGAAGATCATAGCTATTCTTTGAAGCACTATACTAACTCACGATCGAAGCACGTCGGAAACGGTGACAAGGGATATGACCTCGCATGGCTTCAATCCATTGCATCTCTCCTCTGGTCGGGCTCCGCTCTCCTTGACTGTTTACACCCCGTCCACCGCGGTCCTGCTCACCTTTACTCGCTTGGCTTACACCACTTTGCAACTCTGGCACACACCAGAGAAATCATGCGCTACAAGGGACCATTTGCTCCAACGCTCCAGTCTGTTGCTAGACCGTTCTTTCGCGAAACACCGGGCTCTCGCTGGTCAAACGATCCGGCCTATTACATGCGGAGAGAGGCTTTCTATGATAGCTGGATTCAAGATCCGCTCATGATCTGGTGCGGATTACAGCAGCTCAAGGAGACGAAGACCATCGATGAACTGCTCGGGTACATGTTTCATGTGAATCCCGGCTTCGAAGGCAAGAGGCTCGCCTACAACTTCAGGAACCTCCGCTTCCAGAACGATGACGAGTCACTGGTCCCACGTACGATCGAGTTCCGTCAGCATGAAGGAACAGTCGACATTGAGGCAATCTGCATGTGGACAAGAGTGGTTTGCAGCCTGGTCGAAGCCTGCCGAGACAATCCGTACCGGGCAGAGAACGCTGCGCTCAAGGCCGTAAACGCCACCTTGGGACTCGGCCGCTATGATGCTATCGATATACTCCGAGACATAGGCCTTCGTACCGAGGCCGATTACTACCAGCCTCAACTTCGTCTCCGCGATGTAGGGGTCGTTGAACTTGTCGAGCCCGGGCAGGAGCAGGACCCTGTTCAGGAGAACCACAACAAGCCCGGCCGTGCTTCAAAGACAGCAAAGAACGCTTGGGCAGCGCTGAAGTCCATCCGCGGCTGCTATCGAGCTAGAGACGATTCAGACTCATAAGTTCACCTTCTCAGTGCTCGATTCCTATGCCGGCGTGCCGTAGGTGAAAGACGATCAGTCCTACGGTCACTCTGCATTTCGGCCGTCCTTCATGCCTACAGCTTGCCTCAATCTCGGCAAGACTCTACAAACATTTGTTTTTCTTGTTTCTTAGAAGATACCCTGAAACGAAGCGACGATAGTTTTCTTTTCTTTTCTAGCTCCAAGAATCGACAGACCATCATTCTAAAGCGCCTCTTAGGCCTTGGTGGTTGGACCCATTATCTAAAGCAGGTGCTGCACTCTCCACGGCTGAGTGCTGGTCGGAATACTCTAAAACACGCGCATGAGTCGTAAAGGAAGCGACAATGGCGAATGCGGACTTTATAGAAGGCTTTTGACCCCTTTTGGGACATCGCAATAGGAACGCGTGGGGCTGGACTAGCAATGGCTCACCTGATCACCTTGCTTGCTCCTTGAGGAGTTCGGGTTATGCTTCGACAATGACCTCGTGCAGTCTCGGGCTTGTCAAAGCTAGGTCACGGGTTTCGTTATAGCAGGATCAAGCTTGGTAGATGCATCACGTCACAGAAACTTTGCCTGAATGAGCAAATCCGGCAGGCAAGCTGCTTGCGTACTTTTCCTAGATCTCTAATACGTTGCCTTTCCTATTAACTTTCATCTCGTCCTCGAGAGTGAAATGCGACCCAGTTGTTTCCTTGATCCATAATGATACAAATTACTCTGCAAGATGGACCATGCCTCCATAGCTGAGAACCGGTGTCCTGTGTCTCACCAACTATCATCATCTGACTCTTCCGCTTGACCATCGATCAATGCATCTTCCGACAGTGCCTCTTCCTCACTACCTGGATCGCCCGTGTCAACGCTCTGGTCATCATCCTGAAAGTCACCGTAGTCTCTAATGCTAGGAACAGCCGAGGAGCTGGATTCGTCATCAGAGCCTGAGACTGGGTTCTGAATGCGGTTGAGCTGAAGTCGTTCAGCCAGAGACATCGGACGCGAAGGAACTGGTTCATCGTCCGAGTCCGAATCGGAACCCTCCTCAGATGTTTGTTTCTGCGCCCGTGGAGGGTTGGCGACGTCATCTACAGAATTCCGATCATCGTCCTCGTCTGAAACGATAGCAGCTCTACGGCTTCCAGTGCGAGCCCGCTTTCTAGGCACGTCCTCGCCTGAGTCGTCTTCTGAGCTGGAGGCCACTGCACGGCGTTTGCGTCGCTTAGGAGCTCGAGCGGGCGCTTCATCAGATTCCGAGCTGTCGATGTCGCGCGCGGTGTCTGACTCGGCTTCGGGGCTGGAAAACTGAGCTTGCGGGTAGGCATTGAGACCAGCATCTGCACCCTCAATAGCATGCTCGCCGGAGGGCGAGAAGTCTCCTGCAGTAGACAGATCGTCGCTCATGGGCAGAACTGCCAAGTCGTCTTCGTCATCATCGCCTGACGAATATTCATTGATGTCATCGTCATCAATTCCGTCGCTTTCGTACTCGTCTAAGTCCGTCCCAGGTTCCTGGTCAGAGGCATCTGTATGGCCCTCATCGCTGTCCACGTACTCCTGAGTCTCATCCATCATAGCCAAGGCGTGGAATCGATTCATCGCTTTATCGCCCTCGAAGATGATCATGGGCCAGATACTAACACCTTGCCGATTCGCCTCTTCATCAATTTCAGCGAAGGAAAGGGTCTCGCCAAATTCTGCGCTGACTTCCATTGCGGATGAGAGCACATCACTCCGTGGAATCTTGTCCACAGCAAAGTCGGGGTGGTCTTTGAAGTTGGGCCAGCAGTACATGATGTCAAATGTAAGATTGAATATGGTATCCTCCTCGACGTCCTGTATCAAATACTGGGTGGCCGATTTGGATGGGCACCACCACAGTTGGCGAGTCTGACATTCCGAGTCTTCGAGCGCAAAGAACACCGTCTCGAGGCTAGTCCAAAATAATGGCTCTTCTTCAAACCCATGTGCCAGACAGCTGTTGAAATCGAAAGCCTGCAGGGCAATGTACTTGATGTGCTCAGAAAACCCCGGGATCGCGAGGTCCTCTGCAAGGCTCATTCCGCCAAAACCTCGGTCATACTGATTGAACAGTGCGACGTCAGTTTCTTTATTGAAATGTATTATCTTGCGCCCTTCACGAATGGCTAATGTGTCAGGGAGTGCCTTCAAAGCGAGTTCTCTGGACTCATGATGAACAGCCAGCAAAGCCCGCGTTGGCTCAAGCTGCTTATCAAGTTGGGGATGTTCCCACACCATCATCGGACCTGAACGTGGGAGCCTGGAGACCATGAAGCGGAAGACGCGTCCGGGCTGTACCACATCCGGGCAAAAGGCCTTCCAGACCTGTCTGCGGAGTTCAACGGGCAAGCGCATGAACTGGGGAAATGAATAGTGCACGACATCCTCCGATTCTGAATCCGAGCTACCATCATCCTCGGAAGCTTCTAAGTGAAGAAGATTTGCTTGGTAGATCTCATTCGCGAGGCGTGACTCGTCATCGTAAGAATCAGATTCAGACGGGGAGCTGTTGCCTTCCATCGCAACGGAAAATCCTCGGTCCTCAGCTGAGCTTGAGCTCGTTTGCGAGGACGCGTCATCACCAGCGCCTGGCATCTCCGGTGATAGACTTTGCGCGTACTTGGGGCTCTTGGTGGCGATAGAATCGTTGTTGATGAATGATGTTCGTGAGTGACGGAGTAAGAGGTTGAAGGTTTGCTATCAAGGATATATGATTGCCGTGGGGCTAATGCGAATCGGGTTAGAGAAATCTTGGTGGGGCGCGAACCGGCTGCTTGGATACCAGACAGATATCTACCTCCTGGGCGAGGTATCTAGTTAGGTACTCACGTTTGTACAGTACCCCGCGTCCTTCGTGTAGGTTCTCTCTAGGCAGTTGGGAGCCTACCTAATTAGGCTCCGTGTCGAGGATGCTTAATGTCGATGACACGTTCGTCTCCTTGAAGTCTCTCATATCTACCTCGGTGCTCTCCGAGATCCTAAGGCAAGTCTCTAACATCATCTAAGAATCTAGGCTCCAATTGACTTTCATGCATTTATTATATCATATCTATCAAAGACGCACCGCTGCATCGAGAGGCATGCTCGAAAGTATTCCATACGGCATGCTTTACAAACCCTCCTAGATGCGAGGTCGACCTATCGATTGAGACAATATCACCTGAACATCTACTGTGGGCCTTCATATTGAGGAATTCATGAGCTCCATTCACATTTATGACATCAAAGAAATTTCTAGAGAAGATACACTGGTTGCTTATCGATCTTTGACTCAGAAGTGCTAAACGTTGCTGCTCGACCAAGACGAACGCTATTGTACAGAACAGGATCATAGTATAGTACAATTCTTGGACTCATACATGTGCATCATCTCCAGGTAGATATCTTTTAACTTGTGGAGTGTTTAAAGTCTGTGTGAACACGGATGCCTTGAAGCGGGATTTCATCACCACTCAGACTGTCCCCCTCTCCTTTGCCCGGCTTGCTGGTGACGGTATAGCCGTACCCGTGATCAGGGCGCAGTTTTGCGTCAACGGGCAGACCGTCTGCAGTTGTCTCGCCGGAGAGATTGTCATCGTCCAAGCGGTAGAACGCTCCCGACTTGCCCTTTTTAGAGTTCACGAGCTCCGCGTCTGTTCGATCACCAGTCGATCGAGTCCCACGGCTGGCTGACTGGCCGTGATTCTTTGAAAACGCCGCCGAGGCCGCGCCACTGCGGAAAATGCTTCCCTTGACTCCCAGAGTACGGCCGAAAAGGAGCAGCACAGGTCGGAGTGTGGGCAGACAGGCTGAGACGATGCCGGCGGACATCTCGATTGACGTCCAGCCTACGGTAGGCGCGAGTGTGTATGTCGGGTCGGCATTGCTATAGGAAAAGAGGACACTAAATCGATAGGCTGATGCAAACACAACGCTGCAGAGAGTCAGCATCTTCAATCCATACCCATTAGACAGATTCAGAGGAGATACTTACAAGAAGCCTAGGCAGAAGGCAAAGGTGAGGGCAATTTTCTCGGGCTTGCGTAGCTGTAACTTCCAGACTTGAGGGATAGGGAGCACCAGGATGGCAAGATCCGTCACAATCGTCGATGCAGCATTAGCAATCCACGTGCCGACCTGGTTGATGCAATGTCCTGGAAGATCTGTATACCAGAGCTTTTGAACAGGGACACAGATGAAGATGAAGAGGAAGGTGATCGTGATGCCCCATGCAATGATGAATGCACCGATGGCGTAAGCCATTCTCTTGAAGAACGGGAAACGGAAGATGCGATAGTACATCAGGAGGAGGCTGATCTTCGTCCAACACAGGTTCCAAGCGTAAAGAATCTCCGCAACGAGGAGGAACTTGGCCATGAGGACTATTTGGTCTAAGGGCACCTTGTCTGCATGTATGCCCATCCCGGCACCGTACATGGCGAAGATGAAGCCAACGACAACAAGATTCCATGCCTACAGATATACACATTAGTTCAGTACTGAACGTATGTCGGTGGATGTGGGTGCATACCAATGAAAAGATTATCATCCAGTCATCCCACCAAAGCTGTTGAGCCTTCAAATGTCGACTGAGCAGCCGTAGGCCGACAGAGATGACAGCAAGAACAGTCATCGAGACGACGACTTCCACAGTCCATGGCTGGAGGTTGTTGGGGTCATATCCTTTAATTCCTTCCATGTTTGTCGAGAGACACGAATTGACTACTGGAAGATGTCACGGAACGGCTAGTACCTGTTGGAAGGAAGACGGCGGCTCGTCGACGCTGGCGGCATTGAGACTTTGAATATAAGAATATCAGACTCGCCCACTCTAGTCCTTGTCTCCTGAAACGACTGCCGGGCACCAAGCATCAGGAAACGGGCCTCCAAACATCTCCGAGATCAGGGGTTGAAGAAGAAGATTCTCCTAGCAAGTATGAGCAGTGCATGGACATTAGCAGATCTCTGCAAGAATGGCAAGGTCTCCCAACGACTCGCATTCTGGAAGTGGCCTGTCCACTGCAGATTCTTTCCGCCTTCAGCATGTGGACCGTTGCGCTATTATGGACATCAAGGTGGACCGATGCCGAGCTAGTGGTCTAAGTTCAGCGAAGCGGACCATCTCCACTTGATAAAAGTCCAGGTTTACCAGGGGAAATCCTGGGTCTGGGACGGCAGTTCTTACCCAACCAAAACCGCAGGTAGGCATTGGTAAGATCTCTGAGTTTTTGCTTGGCGGTGCAAGGTACGCCGGGGTGCTGCAAATTTTAGCAGGGTTCTGACCCGGAGGATCCGTGTAGTAATATGTAAGTGATGTCCCAATGCAGCAAGCATTCTCGAGATGGATGCATATGATAAGATCGCAGCCCAACCTCATATCGCGCGACTTTTACAAATGGATGGATTGGTGGTGTTAGAGCCCACCGTAGCATTTGACGTTTTTCACGTTTTCTTCATCTCTAGACCGTTCGGAACATCTCCACTCGTGACTAGCCGAGACAAACGGCGACGGCCCGCACCTCCCGGTGGGTTTTTTGTCCATTATATTTAGCTCCTATTCGGTGTGCAATGGTCGTAGTGTAGAATCTTCACAAATGGTGTGTCTGGAGCCACTGCGTCGGTCGGCATGAAAACTAGAGTACGTAGCGGGTCCAATTTGGGGCACCAGTGCCGCAGCACGACGTTGGCTTCCCCACTCTACCTATCACCTCCTGACTTCGCCGCTGCGCTACTCAGAGTAGCCTCGGTCTTCGACGTTATCGGTAGTCGAATGCACGAGGGGAATTCTTGGCCGGACCAGGATGTATGAACTAATGTAGATGATAATCGCAACCGGTGTCTCAGAATCAAGCCATGGTTCCATTGAGGCGGTTTTGTCTTCCCATATAGAACATTCTGTGCCACCGTGTGAAAATTCCCTCAATGCCGATGATCGTTCCGTTGAAACTCTAGAGTACAGCATTAGCACTCAAGAACTCGTCCAAGATGGCTGCTACCACCACTGTTGAGGTCCCGCACTTGGGCGGCATCAAGGCCGGCTACGCCCTCTCAGGGGAGTACGACCCCAAGAAGCCAACATGCGTGCTCATCAATTCGATGTGTACAACAGTCTCCTTGTACAAAGCCCAATTCGATAGCAAAGAGCTTACCGATGCTGTAAATCTTCTCGCCATTGAGCCTCTTGGCCACGGCGCGACAAGCTGCCCAACAGAGCATTTCACATACTGGGATACGGCCATCATGGCCCTACAAGTATTGGACAAGCTGGGTATCGAGAAGGCTTTCGCACTGGGGACTAGCCAGGGTGGCTGGATGGTGACTCGTATGGCATTGCTTGCACCGGAGAGGGTTGGTCCCCAATGAACGACAGCATCGCTATAATTACAATAGCTGACATGGCTGCATGAAAGATACTCGGCCTTATCCTTCTAGGAACCTCAATGGACTACGAATCTGCTGATTCGAGAAGCAAGGGCTGCTGGGACCCGAAAACCCTTCTATCACCTTTCCACGACAAGTGGTGCAGCTCGACTCCGACTCCCGACTTCCTTATCGATGACGTTTGGTGCGGCATGGTTGGTAGCATTGGCTTTGGCGGAGGCGTCACTACCGAGACAATCCAGTTCTGGACAGACACACTCAAGTCCGTCTATAAGGGTGATGAAGGACGGAAGAAGGCGAAGATGGCACTTGGATGCTTATTGGAGAGAGATGGTCTTCTTCTCAGAATTAGAGACATCACCTGTCCCGTATACTGGCTACAGGTACAGATTTGCTCAGATCGCGTTAAGTATTAGCATTATTCGCTAACAACAGCAGGGAACTCAAGATGCGCCGTTTGGCACAACTGTTCCAAAAGAGCAGATCAAACTGTTCACCTCGTCAAAGGAAGCAACGCTTTCTTTCATCGAAGAAGGTGGACATTATCTGAACGCCACAAACCCGAAAGAGGTTGGCGAAGCCTTGTTGAAGATGGTGACTAAGTACAAATAAGCAAGATAAAGGCCGTGGAAAGATGCATGAAATGAAATGGCCAAATAACGCTGCTGAGCTGCAGCTCCCGAAATACGGTCGATGTAACTGGTATCTGGGATGAGCTATTTTTATCGATACATTTAAGCGAATCATTAGCACTAAGCTGAATTGAACAGCAATAGACCTATAATAAAGGGGGTCAACAATGAAATGCAATTTGCCAAAACTTTCCTCAAGATAGCCCCATAGTGAATAAAATCAATTCAATTATCCCTAAGTTGTGCTGCTTTCCAGTTGCGATACGTAGATAACATGAGAGCGCAGAAGAAAGCTCGTATCTTGTCTAATTGTCACAACGGAATAGCAACACGGGCGGTTGACTCAACAATAAGTAAAGCTTGGCCAACTCTATGACATGCATTATGGCCAGTCTTAAGTTTTATTTTATTGGTCATCACTGTATCATGAGCTTTGTAGAGCAGTTGTCTATAGTGCCTTGAGAAGACCTTCGTGTTTAACGACCCATGTACCATCACTTGGGAATCCAGGTGCATGACCTTCCGAGCCCTCCCAACCGGCAGCCATGTACCCGACTATGACTTCAAGTTAGATATTACTGGCCTAGAATATGCATTAGAGACCACTAACCTGCATAAAGAAAACTGGCAGCACCAGGGAAGTACGGCGGTGGTGAAGGACCTGTAAGATATGAGTCAGCACGTTATATAAAGAGGCAGATGCAACTCACTTGGCCCCGAACGATGCGCATAGCCTGTTGCGGTAATAATATTAGTACTACAGTTACGGTCATGGTTGAGAACGAGTGCACATACCAGCATCATCGAACTTCCAATACCCATAGTTCGTCAAATGGTAGATAGCGCGATCGGGATTACCGACCCTAGCTGCATTTATTGCTAGAACTGGTCGTCCCCAACCACGTATGTTTGTATCAGTCCATACCTCCCACATCTTGTTTGAAGTCCTTAGTCCAACTTCCGCATCAACAGCCGGAGTATCTGGAAGGACTGATTTGTTTCATGTCAGCAAGAGGTGTTGTCAAGCCAAGTTGGCGCTGGTGACACGATGAGACAGTTCAGTTGGTGCACTCACTTCCTTGAAGCATGATAACACTCCGTGGGTCTTTGCTCAGACTCGGGTCCTTCCACCACGAACTATTCAATCCTTCCCAAGGTGCAAACATTCCGTCAATTATTGGTGGAGGCGCCAGGTTTTCTGCAACCTCGGTCCATAATTCGGGTACCGGTTGGCTTAGCTTAACCTTCCACTCGCGAGCCGCATCGAGAGCCCAACGCCAATAGGCAATCTACAGGTCAGCTATTTCATATCGATATGGTGACTTCACGGGGGACCTACTTCATATGCAAGATTTCGGGTCTCCAGGGGAAACGAGTTCTCCGTAACACCCTTCGATCTGTAACTGTTAGAACACGCTGTAAGGCTTGGCGGCTTCTCACTCACGGTGGTCCGAGGTCATAGTATCCCGAGCTCTCGTTCTTCCAAGCGAAAGAAGCCATGTAATCAGCCGTAGCTGTGAGAACACGATCCCATCGCTCGAGTGTCTCGCGAGTCGGCGATGCTTGATAAGCCAGCTTCGCCAAATATAGGGGGTGCGGTTGCTGCCACATCAAATATGCTCTTGTCTCGCCTGGCCCGATGCCGCCTGTGCCGAGTTCTGTCATTTTAGGCCATCTAAGATTGTTGTCAGCATGTCCTATCAATTTTGCCGGGAAGATCGTACCTCGCGCCCTCCCAACCCATTCGCTTTGCCCGCGCCACAGAAGTAGGCATCAATGTCTCGTAGACCGCTGGAAAGATTCTGTCGAAATATTGCTGCCGCCCCCATGTTGCCCAGTGTCCGCAGTGCCATACCACCATTTCGAGGTGGAATTTCCCCCACCATCCGTTATTGACAAGTCCGCTCTCTTGTGGTGGCTGACCGGTGGCCGCACTGTTGATTCGCATATAATACTGCGTCAGGATAATGCGCCGTTGTAGTTCAGTAGCATTTGGATTGGTTGACTCAGTGACATCAACAAAGCCGCCTTCACTCCAGTATTGGTTCCAGCCGGCGCTATTACGCCTCTGAATTGCAGATGGCAAGGCCGGTACTTGATCCTCCAATGAGAAATGAGCAGTGAATGACAAAGAATCAGCTTGATTGCAACTATCTTTGGAAGTCGCTGGAGCAAGTGTGTAACGATGTGCTGTTACTGCACTTGAGCCTGCCGGTTCGTTGCGCTGCAATGATAGGGGAAGATTGCATGGCCATCGTAAATTCACGAAATATTTTGTTTCGTCCATCTCATGATATATATGAGCAGTTCCACGAGCCGTAGTCTTGTTCACAACTGATGTAGTGTGGTTCAGGGGGTAATCGTATGACCCGGCAAAAATCTCGAAATCAGAACTAGAAGTCACGACATGCTTCGGTGGGTAAGGAAAGTCGAATTCGACCTGCAGGTCGCCTGATGAGATAAGAATGGACCGAATCTGGAATGTCACAGCATCCGACTCGAAATCACCCTGAGTGATGACTTCCACAGTTTCACCATCGATATTGAAAGTGGAATTAATGATTCCATTCCATAGGTCCAACTCTTGCCGAGGTTCCTTTATGAGGGATTGGGCAAGAGTATTGCCTTTGTACTTCAGACCAATGCGGCCGAGGTTAACTCGATTGGGATTCGCCGTCAACCATTTCGAGACTTCAGGTAAATCTGGATCCTCAAGGTCATAGGTCACGTTTCTTCCATGAGTTAAGACATCCACTCCGTGATAGTCGCTGAGTTTCTCGCTTAAAGGATCCCATTAGCATACTAAGAATGTATAAGAGAGTCCAGCTCAATGCTTACCCATTTGCTGGCAATGAGTCGTTATGCCATCCCCAACTTGAAAGTGTGTTGAACGGTATAAAGGTTTGCATGCCAGTATTGTCCAAGTTGAAGGCGAAGTCTCCATTCCCTACTTGAAGAGGCGTTGTTTCGTTTCCAATTACCTCTGGCAGGCTTGTGCGGATTACGTTGAACCTAGAGACTACACCTTGTCTACCGGGACAATCAGATTTTTTCGATCCATATACTTCTGGTGTACAGGGCGATTAGTTACCTATCAATTGCTGCTCGAGCCAAATCACACAGCAGAAGAGCCGCAAACAATGAAGTGAACGCCATGACGGGCGACTAAGGCTTGCTGAATCACTCAAGCCCTCTATTGACAAAGTCCAACATTCGCGACGTAATTTGGCCATCTTATTATTGTTCCGGAAATAATCAAATCTTGTATTGAGCAACATTGTAAGCCATATCCGGGACAAACACTCCCGATAGTGCCAACTTCTGGGGAAGTGGCCCACTTGGTACCTGTGATCACCATAGCCTGTCTTCTGCTTCCTGGGGAATCTGGGGTTGAGTGACCCAAGAGTGAGGGGAGATTCTCCACTATATAGAGGGCCTGAACCACTGGACATCCTGCCTCGGTAGAGTATCATGGCGAGGACCTCTTCCGGCGCCCTACAAGCGTAGAAATTCCCCAAGCGAGCACTGTGCTAGCGAGCCCCTCACTGATCCTTCAGTCTTGGCAGCATTTAGCAGGGCAAATCGATGGTACGCACTACAAAGAGTCGCTGTGTGCGCACTGAGATATACCGAGCCAAATAAGTTGAACAGGTTCGGAAGCTATGGTTCGATGAGTTAGTGGCCAATAATTCATATGTGCTGTTGACAACGAGAAAATGAGCTTAATGTTAAGGTTAAAAGAGCCTTCTTTGTCAACTCAGATACCAGGTTCCATCCACCAGCCGCCGTCCCCACCTCCGGACGGCCAGAACTTTTTGCAGTGGAAAATCACTCACTTAGTAATTGCGAAATCTTCAATTGATTACAGAGCGCAGAGCTTGATATTAGGTATAGCTGATGATTCAGACACTTAGAGCCCAGTTTGCAGATTAACAAGGGTATTTGAACAATTATGGCATCATCAGGTGGAACAACTTTGGATATATGCGCGCCAAGGTCAAACAGACTGTTGCTTGCTTCTCGGTTGCTCTTGCGTTTTCGGTTCCGGATTCTCGATAGGGACAAGTATGATAGGAGCTGGTCGTCGGGGCGTGGGAGAACACCCCTTGACGCAACACCAAATACAGCATCCTAATATGAGCAACCCAACAAACCCACCAATTGAACCACCGATCGCAACAGCTTTGCCAAGTTGCTCTAGTCCGGGGTCATCACTGCGGCTAGGGGTCGGCGTTGGGAAAGGACCCCCTGTCCACGGCGTCCAACAATTCGGGACACAGGTCGTACCCTGCAGAACTACATACTTTGCGGTCGGCATTTGTGCCAGAAGCAAGTCGGTGGCTGGGTCAAAAATGACACTCGTGGGGGTTGCCGCTACAGTCCATGTTGACTTCCATCTATTCCAGCGCACATCCGAGACAGAGACAGTCCATGGTGGTGTACCCTCAAACGAAGGGCTAGTCGCAACGCAGTACAATTCCGGGTATGTTGCAGTTTCTCCGGCGATAACGAATGTTGGAGTTGAAACGACGAAATCGAAGACTCTAGCACGCGTGAGTACCTTACATTTACGAAGGAAGTGAATTATTACGTGGGGCAGCAGTAGATAGTAAATTCACTTGATGAAGACTCTAGGTAGGATAGTCTGCTGGCTTCAGTGTATGAGATTGGGCATTGTGTTGCCGGGGCGTATTCATCTGGGAAACAGGCATCGTGATCAACGTCAACATGATTACTTGCGCCAAGATGAATCGCAGTACACGGAGGCGACCCAGTAGATCGAGGATAGCAATTTACGCTTGGCTCGCGAAACAGGTCAGTTGAACCAACACATGATTCGGCCGGCGTGAAATGAGGAACCGGCGGTTGAGTGATTGTCGACGTTCTCGAAGCGGATGTCAGATCAGGAGAAGAAGCAGGGTCCTCTGGAAGACCAGATATTGATGGCTCGCTAGTCATGGCATCGATCGACCAGAGCGGTGAACTCTTAGTATCGTGTCCTTGCTATTCCATCGCGACATGAAGTTGAGAGGGTTATGCGCCGGCAATATATAATTAGGCAGCCCTCTTCTTGGCGAGCCGTGCCAAGATTTGCAGGGGTAGATATCGAGGTTGCACCAACACGATGTTATCGAAGGATTGCCAAGATATTGCCGAAGCCAATCATGGAAGCACTGAATCCCATCTCGCCTCAATACGAGAGAATCACTGCCCTGCTGCTAAGCCCTACGCATGATCTGTGTAGTTTAATTTGTCAGGGATCTGAAAGGCGACATTAGGTTGGACTTTCTATGTCTCTATTAGAACTTTTGCTCTAGCTCTACAATTCTATACTTTTTGACGGGGAACCTGATCTCAAGCAACAATTTCAAATTTGCCGTGAGAGGGAATTAATATCCCTGATACCTAGAAGACAAATCATTCAGGAGGACCGCTAGACACTATGTTGATGGAGAAAAGATCCATGCCAATTGGTACACGCGACTCTACATCGAATTTATTTTAATGTCTCTTGGTATTTTTGTGTATGTACGTAAAGGTCTATCGGGCTCTGATAGGCTGCAGCATGTGAATATCGGTATTCGCCGATTTGCTACTTTTTGTCCGTTTTCCTTGCATCGAACTAGCCCGATTCTTGATAGCTTCCCAGGGGTGCGATGTTATATCCGAAAGATCTCTTGCGTCAACGGCTAGACCCATCCTAATGACCGAACCGGGGACACCACTGCAATTCCATGTACTTTTTTTCCTTCTGCCCCCAACTTATTTACTTTTGTCAATGTTCGCGATGGGGGTCATTAGCTTGAGCAGGGAGCAGCTGGTTCTTCACAGGTGAAGGAATTGACGGCATTGAAGCTTTGAGCTCAGGAAGACTCGCGCTCCTTTCTTCTAGCCACCGAGCGGAGAACCCCTACCACCCGCGATCGGAAGTCCCCCGCCGCCTCGATCACGACATGATGGGTTACCGGGAAGAGTCAACACAGCCCGAAAATGACATCGAACAAGAATTTCGCAAAATCGATGGCAGGGCATATTCGACCTCCGAACCAGAGATTGCCTTCGCGACAGAAAGCGCCGATCAGGATGTCGAGAAAATGGAGACCGATGACAAGTTTGACGCATCGAGAGTTGAGAACGCGACTGACACGGAATCTCCTGACTCTGTAGCGCTTGAGGGATCCGAAGCCAGCCAGCAAAGCAAGCGGTGGGCAATCATCGGCACGATCTATCAAGGTCTCTCTTGGACTCCTAGAACTTGTCGATATGATCCCGAAAATCCACCGAAATTTTCGCTGGCGATGAATTTCTTGTTTGCCTTTGTAGGTCCAAAGGTGTATTTCAAATATACTAGATTATTGGTCAGCTAACATTTCAGGCCACCACAATAACCGTTGCAAATTTGTACTACAATCAATCTATCTTGAATAGAATGGCGGATACATTCGATGTCAGCTTTGAACGAGCATCTTCAGTCGCCACCCTGATGCAGGCAGGATACGCGTCTGGCCTTCTCCTCATCTGTCCTCTAGGTGACTTATTCCGACGGCGACCATTTATTCTGCTTTTGGTGGCATTTACAGCGACTTTGGCAAGTCTTTCATCGTGCTTGGGTTACTTGAGCTAATCTATTGTCACAGTGGATAGCCCTGTGTACTACCCAATCTTTCAACGTCTTTGCAGGCATTTCCTTCATCTGTGGTATGACAACAGTGACGCCACAGCTGATGTTACCTCTGGTGGGCGATCTCGCTCCGCCACAACGGAGAGCCTCTTCGCTAGCGATAGTCGTGTCGGGTCTTTCCCTCGGCATGCTCATCGCCCGTTTGCTATCCGGCATCATCGCCAACTATACCGATTGGCGCAATATATACTGGTTCGCATTCGCCGCTCAATATCTAGTATTCTTCCTGCTCTACTTCTTCATGCCGGATTATCCGTCTAAGAATCCCGATGGCTTAAACTACTTCCGCATGATGTGGTCCATTGTACAGCTACTCTTCACGGAGCCGGTGTTGGTGCAAGCATGCCTGATCTCATTCCTCGCTAGTGCGGTCTTCACCTCATACTGGACCACCTTATCGTTTCTCTTATCATCGCCTCCTTATTCATATTCGTCTTTGACCATTGGCCTCTTCTCCTTGATTGGAATATTCATCATCTGCTGGGGCCCAATTTACAGTCGACTCATCATCGATAAAATCCAGCCGTTGTATTCCAGTGTCATTGGGCTTACCATAGAACTAGCTGGTGTAATTGTTGGTACTTTCATCGGCAACTTCACTGTCGCAGGACCAGTGATCCAAGCGATTGTCATTGATCTTGGCAACCAGGCTTGCAATATTGCAAATCGAACAGCGATCTATCACATTCAACCGAAAGCTCGCAATCGTGTGAATACGTGTTATATGCTGGCGGCATTCTGTGGGCAGCTAACAGGTACGGCGGTTGGCAATCGATTGTATGCTCAGGGAGGCTGGGTATGGAGCGGAAGTTGCAGCAGTACGTTCCATTCTATGATATATGTTGATCTTGCACTAACGACATCACAGTTGCCTTCATCGCATTCGCTCTTGTCGTGAGTTTTGCCAGAGGACCGCGAGAAACACGCTGGCTTGGGTGGTCTGGCGGATGGGGTATTTGGAGAGATGACTTGCCTCGGAAAAAGGATCAAAGCACAGCTGAGGTCGTATCTGAGGCAGCTATCGAAATTGATAGTCGTCAAAGCGAACCTTCACCACAAAGAAGTTCGAAGTCCCACGACTAGCAAGCTTGAAGCTCCTACTAATTGTGAACATCAGTAACTTCTGGCCACATATAAAATGTACATAAAATCCCAATATACAACATCTAAGAGGTCTTTCTGGAAAGATTGGGGTAATTTTTGACCGACAGTTTTCGCTGCCGAGATCATGTATGAGTACGCGTCATATTCGAAGAGTCCTCTTTGGGGCCCGCAACTTGGGGAACTAGCATCCGGAATGCCTGAAGACTTTGAGGATTAAGGCATGACAGGACTGGTGCTTGACGACCTGTTTTAGGCAGATTTTCTGCGGAGGTCTTACACTCACCCGTAGATAGAGGTACGATGAAAATTGAGTAGGACATGGTTGGCTACGGCTAAGGAGAAGCTTTAACACATGAGAGACAAGCTCTTGCCATAAATGAAAAGACAACAAGTTGTAATTGGGCATGTACCCTGGCTATCCCAGACGAGTCAACTTCTCAACGCATACACTCTGGCCGCATTTGTGAAGATCAGAATTGTGAGCGTGAGAAGAGGCACAAGGTCTGCCTCAGGCGATAGCCTCAGGGGCCATATTACAAATGTCATCCAATACCAGTCTCACTTCTACAACAATATCTTATCATATTTCAGTTACATCATATGGCAATACCAGCCTATCAGAGGCTGGAAATTCTCAAAACTCTTTGATTCAATGTGTAGATTAACGACAGTTTGATTTGGTGTGGTTAATTGATAAAATGATAGCATTCTCGATAGGTAACATGTTAGGACCATGTTGAAAGTTCAAAAGAGACAAGAAATGAAAACACAGTATGTGGCCCCCAGACTATTCTCAATCCCATCGGTACCACTTTTCTATTCCTAACACCCGTTCGAAAGACTATTCCCCATTCAGCATTTAGGCAACAATCTTGATATATCTCGTTCCCGGAGTGTCGCAGATCGTTCTACCAGAGCCATCTTGTGCTGCGAAGCAGTGCATATTGACCTTGTCAGTGCAGGACCCACCACCATTCTCCTTGTTACAAACGATCCAGTCGCTGGCTTCGAGCCCCGCAGCCCAGATGATGCACATGGTGCCTGGGATATTCTGAGAGTCGCCTGGTGCTGGGTTGTAGGTCGTTTCTGTGCCTTTACAGCCGCTGCCGGTGCAACCGCCATTGCAGGCCGTAAAGGTCCAGCCAAGGACGGAAGGGGCGGTCGCGAGGATTGCTGTGAGGATAGCGATAGTCTGCATGATGGAAAAAACAGAGCGAAAACGCCAAAAATGAAAGTAATTCGATCAAATTGAATTATGAATCAAGAGTGAGTTCTAAGTCGATGACAAACTGGAGTGCTCTTTTAGATAGCTACAGGTATTCGCTGAAACTTTGTGAGCACTGTACACTGAGGACATGGGGTTCTTCTCTTTCCATTTATATCTACATTCTCATCATTTGTCTCGAAAAAGATCTACACAAGTGTAACGTTTTTGTCGAGGTCATGGGTGCCTTTGATACGAGAATTATAGCATCTATTTACAGACGAAGAAGAGGAGGCTATCCAATCTATATTTGATGCCTGTCGTGCAGTCAAATTATATCTAGCTGAATTGCAACGTCGGCGATCCCCTATGGCGATCGGTCAAAAATCTAGCCACTCAAGAGGCTTTCTGCATCGGCACACAAATGAGAGCTTCGTTAATAGGGATAATAGGTTACGAGAAGTTTTCCCTGCGAGCCAATGAAATGTTGAATCCATGAGCTGAGCCCGTCAGCTTTTTCGATGAAGCTGAGTCATCGCCAGGAAATGGAAATGGATGCAAATATAGATAGCTTGCACTCCCGCAGCATGTTCCTTGAAGTGGAAACTAGCTATTGATCATTACCATTATCAGCACTCAGCCTCGAATTTTAAAAGAAGCGCACGTGTTGATGTCGTTGAACCATTTGCGGAGTCTCTGATGCTTGAGCACATTTTCCCAGGCATATGAGCACACAGCCAGTACCTATCGTGATGAGATACGCACGCTTAAGAAGACCTGGTTATAATTGCGCACTTATGTGAAGACGTGATCTGCGAAGAGCTGGTTCTCTGGTAAATTGGATCAAATTGGCCAGACTTGGTAAATCGTAGAGGGCAGATGAAGTACTCTGAACGCGCAGGTGAGAATCAACCCCTGCATTTCAAGGAGAAATCTATCATCCTAGGCATACGACTACACAAGTCTAGAATCCAGCTCTCGGCTGCTATTTCTATGCTCCGAGAGACCCTTCCAGGACGAATTGCAAGTGTCTTACGCAGTGCGTACCCTGCCATAGTAGCGGTTCCATTATATGACTGATGGCAGAGTCATGGACACGCTTCGTAACGTTGTCGAGCTGCTTATTTGCGTAGCTTCTGTGATTTGACTTGAAACCTATCAACCGCCTACATCTAATCAAAAGTCTCACCTATGGTAAAGAATCGGTGCACCCGCCGGAGACAAACTTCTCTGCTAAGCGTTCAACCGGCGTTTATTGCTAAGATGGCTCCTTAGCTGGGAAAAAGGAGAAAATGGATATAATCACTCAAGGCAGAGAGGGTTAGAAGCACTCGAAGTGGTCGTATCTGAGCCAGATATTCACTTCATTGTTTTGTGACTGACATACATCGTCTGCCCTTGAGAAGCGATTGCGGCTAGCTACATATCGACATACATTCAACCGAGCGGGAATACAGGTCTAACTAATAGACAGGATCTTGTGGAGACCAGCCTTAAAGCCCTCTAGTTAATTGAGCTAGTTGATTGAGCTCGTAAGTTGTATAATAGACGTCACTCCTAAGGTTGGTCCAAATCCAGCTGCATTTAGCAAGATCCCACAAACGCTAAGTCACCAGATATAACTACAAATTTTATTTCAATTGTCGCTACAAATCAATATAGGAATAATATGGAGCAACTCTGCCAAACTCATTTTTTTGTTTGTGGGGAGGGGTTTATCTGATGTTGTGGAATTCCAAGTTCCGATGAGTGAAGCTTAATCAATGCAAGAGTCCGGGGAAAGCCACAACGGGTCAAGCGGTGTTTCATGCTCGAAGTGTATCCACTCCTCAGCGACGCGTCACCGCGCCAGGCCATCGTAATTTGGAAAGGCAAAATGACGCGGCATATTCCGCACTGTAAGCCCCCAATTGGCACCGCACCACACATTATGCACCGAGGAGTAGCCTCAGTGATAGGGCTAGCAGTAGCAGCCTTATGCATACCTTGCCGGAGCGAGCACGGAAAAAACCGCAGTGTCATGAGGCCGTCCTATTTTGGGGACAGATGCCGTGCTGCGGTAGTTGTGACGACGTTAGTGGCGGGGCTTGAATACCGGGACTGTGGACCGTTTGATTGATACAGGACCAAAGGCCCGAGGCTGAACCTGAAGGCATGACGTTATCCTGGTTCCTGGAACTTGACTCCTGAGCTGAGTGGTCGAGTCAGCCCATCATCGAGAATGGGTCTACATACTCAACCGCATATAAGCCTGCAGATACATAATTATACAAACGATGGTCCCTGACAAACGGTTGACTCTGGTCTCATCACGGACAACTGCGCTTGCAAATAATCTTATCTTCAGGAGTTCTTATACTTTAGTGCCTTTCATCAACCTATTAATCCAGTGAGGATGCCTCGATATTCGCGAGCAACCATCGCAGCTTTAGCGACCACAGCAACTGCTGCATCTCTATCCGATTTATGCACTGTAACCAACGTGCAGGCTGCCTTGCCCGCGAATGGTACCTTACTAGGCATTGACTTGGTCCCATCAACGGTTACTGCAAGTGCTGTCTACAATGCAACAACTGGCGGCGGCATGATGGGTGGCGGTAGCACGACAAGTTATACCTACTGTAACGTGACCGTCACTTACACGCACACTGGCAAGGGTGATGAGGTCGTTGTCAAGTACGCGTTCCCCAGCCCTTCTGACTTCCAGAATCGCTTCTATGTCGCCGGTGGCGGAGGCTTTTCTCTGTCGACTGATGCGACTGGAGGTCTTGCCTATGGTGCCGCTGGAGGAGCTACCGATGCGGGATACGACGCTTTCGATAACAGTTACGACGAGGTAGTGCTTTATGGAAATGGATCTATCAACTGGGACGCCACTTATATGTTTGGTTATCAAGCCCTTGGCGAGATGACTCTTGTCGGCAAGGCTATAACAAAGGGGCTTTACGGACTATCAAGCGAAAGCAAGGTCTACACTTACTACGAGGGGTGCTCCGATGGTGGACGAGAGGGCATGAGTCAAGTCCAGAGATGGGGTGAGGAGTATGACGGTGTAATTGCTGGTGCCCCTGCATTCCGCTTCGCGCAACAACAAGTTCTTCATGTGTACTCGTCTGCTGTAGAGCACACATTGGATTACTACCCACCTCCGTGCGAACTGGACAAGATTGTCAACGCCACAATCGCGGCTTGTGATCCTCTCGATGGACGAACGGATGGCGTTGTGTCTCGCACTGATCTCTGTAAACTCAACTTCAACCTGACTTCGATTATCGGTGAGCCTTACTACTGCGCGGCGGAGAACAGCACTTCTCTTGGATTTGGTTTCAGTAAGCGCCAAGCTGAGGGAAGCACAACTAGCTACCAGCCCGCGCAAAATGGCACTGTGAGTGCCGAAGGAATCGCAGTTGCGCAGGCTATCTACGACGGCGTCTTCAACTCTCAAGGGCAGAGAGCATATCTCTCCTGGCAAATCGCGTCTGAGCTAGGGGATGCTGCTACAGTCTATAACTCTGACACAGGAGCATGGGAACTCAGCATTCCGTCTACTGGTGGAGAATATGTTACGAAATTCGTGCAGCTTTTGGATCTCGACAACCTTGACAACCTCGATAATGTTACGTACGACACTCTGGTCGATTGGATGAATACGGGCATGATCAGATATCTGGACAGCTTGCAGACGACCCTTCCCGACCTCACTCCCTTCCAATCTTCCGGTGGCAAGCTTCTTCACTATCATGGCGAGTCCGACCCCAGCATTCCTTCCGCATCGTCAGTGCACTATTGGCAATCTGTCCGATCGATCATGTACGGTAATTTGACCGACGAGGAGAGTCTGTCTGCGCTGGAGGACTGGTACCAGTTTTACCTGATCCCTGGCGCAGCTCACTGCGGCACAAACTCGCTCCAGCCAGGGCCGTACCCCCAGAATAACATGGATATCATGATTGACTGGGTTGAAAACGGCGTGAAGCCCACCCGCCTGAACACGACGGTGTCTTCGGGCACTTATGCCGGCGAGACTCAAATGCTTTGCCAGTGGCCAACACGCCCTCTCTGGCAAGGGAACAGTTCTTCATTCGATTGCGTCAACGACGAAGCATCGATTGAAAGTTGGACCTACACTTTCCCTGCATTTAAGTTGCCAGTATACTAGATAAATATTACACTCTGGACAGACTTGGCTTGACGTTGCAAGGTAGCGAGGGACATTCTAATAAGGGGCAATGTTTGTATGTACATAATTGATAGCTAAGACACTTCGAGCAAATAAACCCAAAACAATTTACTCCGCTCCTGGTGTCTGAGACCACTCTTTCCTTGCCGGGAAGTCTTATGGCTTATCTCATGTTGTAATTCCGGCCTTCGGCGGCCTGTTCCTGGCGATACAACTAGCATGCCTTTGCCTTCGATGGGATGGGCATTCTCTTGATCAGGGGCTCCTACGGCGAGGAGTGCTACATCGCGGTGTTAGCTTAAGCTTGGCAGTGCTATATAACGCATTACGGTACGAAACTCTGTGGGGTCCCGCCCCACTAATTTCCACTGCTCTTCAGCATGGTTTGCGGCTCGCTCGCTTGCGGTTCTTTGAACTTCAATCAATACCTATTCTGACCAGCCTTGAGAAGGCCAGCGTTCTCATGTGCGTCTCCGGGCTACAGTCGCTGAACTGATTCGATTTGAGGATATCAACATTCCCTGCGAGATTGCGTCGTCATCCAGGACTAGAGGGGTGATGTCATGAGTTCTCGGGATAGGCGAAAGAACGATGGCTCCTCGCTTGCCTCGCCTCGGACGGTAAAGCGGACCCGGACAGGTGCGTCACCTTCATGGGCTATGCCCTGGCCTGCTTCGTAATTACAGTATTCTAATGCATACCAGGCTGCCTCACTTGTCGGGCGAGAAGGGTAAGGGGCACCGTCTTCGGGAGACAAGCAGATGCTTCTTGTGTCGAAGGCGGAAAAGCTGATTGAACGACCAGGTCAAGTGCGACGAGTCACGGCCGACATGCGAGAACTGCAAGAGATGCTCCCACGAATGCAAATGGCCAGTGGTCCAGGATGCATTGGTCTCGAGGACTCGACTGAGGGAAAACCATTCTGCTCTAGTTGTCTCTCCCAGCAATGCGGGCGGCCGCCCGCGGGATCATGCTCCCATAGTATCCAACAATCCTTCTTCAAATCCGACACGGAGGAACGGCAAAATTGCTTGCACGGGCTGTCGTGCTGCGAGATGTCGCTGCACGCAAGAACGCCCTTTCTGCGCAAGGTGTCGTGAGCTCGGTATCACCTGCACATACCAGCCCATCAGTAGCACAGTCGACCAGTCAGTGCACGAAAACCCGTCAGAGACGTTGTCCCCACAGACATCCACTGGCGCCGACCGCCTTGATACCTCTGCTGTTGAGAAGTAAATAACTTGAGGCATTGTACTCTTATGGACGAGACTTACGGGTGATAGTGACATCGATCTAGTTCCGAAAAGCATCCAATATGATCACATTCAAGCTTTCTTCACCAACATCTACCCCTGCCAGGCAAATGGGTTCATTCATCGCGGAACCTTACTGCGAAACTTCCAGACCGGACGCGTCGACCGAAAATTACTGCTGGCGATATGTACTGCGGCTTCGCGCTTCGTTAAAGATACTACGAACTCCGCATCCAGTACAACGCAAGCCCAAGCAGAAGCATGGGCAAAGGAGGCAAAGTCTCTTCTGGTGTTAGAGGATATGACAGCGGACACAGTGGCAGCAGCCTTGCTACTAGCTCGACATGAAGTCAACTCTGGAAATTATTCATCGGCGTGGATGCTATCGTCAATTGCGACAAGAGCCGCACTAGCCCTGGGTCTGAACAAGGAGAGTAGTGCTACGGACAACTTACCCTTCAGCGAACAAGAGACCAAGCGTCGGCTTTTCTGGGCATGCTACTGCCTCGATCGCATGATGTCGACGGGATCGCCTGAACTCGTTGTTCTGCGCAGTGAACACATTCGTCTCCAGCTTCCGTGCGAGGAGCATCAGTACCTATTTGGTATTCCGTGCTGGACACCTGTGGTAAATCTGGAAATTGAGATGCCCAACGTGGGACAAGAACAGTCGCAAGCCCAGCGTGACATTGGCATGTTTGGCCAATACGTCCAGGTCATGCAGATGCGTTACTCTATATTGAAGTAAGTTTCGGTTCTCGGAATGCAATTAGCACAGATGATTGTGCTGACAATGTTTTCACTTGCAAGATACGTGCGCAATCAACCTGGAGACCCGAAGGAGAAGCCGCCGTGGGACCCGATATCAACCTTCGCACAATGCGCAGAGAAAATGTCAACTTGGAAACAGACTTTACTTCCCCAGTTCCAATTGATCCCCGACACTATCTACATTCGCCAGTCACAGGACCAGCTCTCGCCACTAATCATGCTGCATGTTTGGTTCGAGCAATGCATGTCAGATCTCTACAGGATCGTCATGCCAGGGTTTCCCGAGACTTTGCCAGCTTCCATGTTGTCAAATGCACCTGCGGGCTGGGTCCAACAACACCAGTCAGCGTGCGTGAGCCATGCTAGCAACATCGCTTCGTTGTTCGAGAGAGTCGGTAGTCTGGTCGACATGCAGAACTTCGTCTTCCTCGACACGAGTCTACCTATGTGTGTATTCGAGAGTATGTGCGTGCGACTTCAAGGGCTCTTCATGTTACCACAAGAATCACTTGAGCAACGCAAAGAGGATTGTAAGTCAAGCTTCAAGATCTTGATAGGCTACATCGAAAGAATGTCAAGGTACTTTCGGCAAGCACAGTGGCTGGTAAGGTTATACAACTCGCGTGCCCAGAAAAATGCTGATAATAGGCTTCAGCTCAGAGAAATGCAGAAGCTTTTGCACCGTCACAACATCACCATTCCCGGACTAGCTGACATGAAATTGAAGTAGGTTATGTGCCTGTAGACCACATTGGTCTTTTCCTACATCACTGCCCCCCTTACTATGAGGTAAATACTAAAGTCTCGCAGTGACTTAGGCGGCACAGATGCCGGAAGCCATCCATGGCAACGGCGCATCCAAGGCCTCAAAAACGCGAAAGCCGGGAGCGGCCAAACCACGAGCAATCAAATGAGCAGAATTGCTGGAGAGATCGCACCGCATACACAACAAATGCCATTATCCACCGATACCAACCAGATCAACAACCACGCGGGCATGAATCTCGCAAACCTCCCTGTCAATGATGCCTCTCTGTATTCACTTCCACAGGGTATGGACTTTGACTTCAATCAAGGAGACGATGTACAATATGCGAATGACCTTGTACTTCCACCAAACGGGTGGGGCGAAGCTCAAGTGATTCCAGGACTTGCCAACTTTGGCATGATGGGCGGTTGGGTAGCCGATGGGCTAGAGGATGAACTACGTGGCTTCGCTCAAATGGATGGGCGATGATAAAGAATAAAAACATTATGAATGTATGTTGCAAGTAGTTGCGCTAGCTCGGTCGAAGGGACAATTGCTCTATTGATCGCACTCTTTAACCTTTGTGGCGTCTGGCCTTGATAGATGCCATGAATAAATGGTTTCTAGGCCTTATACAGGATCTAAGCAATAGTCATTCACAGTGTGCTGTCAGTCAATCCAATACGTACTACGTTGCAAGACTCAATCCTACGGACTCTCCTGAAAAGGGCCGTTGGTAGTGGTCAGTCCTCGATACCCTGTCCTCTTTGAAGAAGCTCGTGCTAAAGGACAAGAAGTCATCAGTGGGAATACAAACCAGCCACGCTCCGTAGAGTCCGTCGTTCGGAGCTGTTCATTTACGCAGCACCATTTTGCCTTAGCAAGATCCCCCCGCACTATCTTCTCTGGTGCATAAGTGGCATATGGGACTACGGGAACCATCAAAGCCGGCTTGGTAAAGGCGAGGTAAAGGCGAGATAGCGCCCGAAGTGCCTGCGGACTAGAATATCACCCATTAATGGAGCAACGTAGCCTAAGGTCCCGGCAGTCGGCACATCTGCCGCATCTGCCACATCTTCTTCCCAGAATAAGACGACGCTCTAGGCGCTAAACTCCCCGTACATCTACCAAGCAGGTTCGCCAAATCAGTATAGAGGAAATATGTTATAACATTTTGGAAGTGGACAAAGGGACCGCCTCGAACACTAGGCATGTCCAGCTGTGCACTCACCCCGTGCGAAAGTGAACCTGCTTTGAAAACATAACTCCCTCATCAATCCCCCTACGCAATTGAGTGGAGAGCCTCGCAATCCAAGCCGAGCAGAATTTTCTTTGCAATGAAAATGAATCGTAAGTCCAAGTTCGAAGTGTTCATATCGGTAGACTGAGCGAGGCGACCGGAGCGAGCGAACCGAGAGTAGCGAAAAATGGGCCCTTTAAGGGGCACCTAAGAAACACACAGCCCCTACCCACTCCGCCGAGCCCACCCACATTCGAGATTGCGAGTTTTCCATGAAACAACTTGATATTTGACTGCAGTCCGTTTGATTGGCACATATGTCACATATCAATCCTTCTAACACTTTCACTCAGTTCGATTAACTCTAATAACACTACCATTGACCTTACGATGTCCTCGTGCTGTCTAATATAGGGGAGTTTTACATACATGATGAATGCTACGCTGTGCCTGCCATGAGAGAGTAACACGGAAGGCTACCTTCCCGATAGGACATGGCTCCCGAATGCTATTCCCCGTAGGTGTCGTTTGTGGAGCAGTATTTGCTCGGCCGAATATGACCTGCGTCCTTATGTGACTCTGTTCCACCTCTGTGTATAGCACCGGCGATCATAGCCATCCTTGACGAATAGCACAGGACTATATCCATGCTTCTGGGTTAGAAGATGGGTCACAGTAGAAGGATCCGCTTGATGAGATGCGATGCGACTATCCATCTCGCCTGGGCGTGTAGGAAGCGGTCACTTTGAACTACTGTGATGGACCAGTCAAATGCAATGCTTATAATGAATAGAGTATAATTCGGCTGCAGCTCTGTCTTTTGTGTTGTCTTTCAGAGCTATTCTCCTTTGTCGTTGTTGTCACGACCCTTCTGGTATCGTAAGTTACAAAAAGCTGATAGCACATGAGCCGAGACGACCAAGCAAATCCGCCAAAATGCGTGCGACTATCGCATCAGTGCTAGGCTTGACAGCAAGCGTTGCGCTGGCTGGTTGCCCTTATGCCGACATTAACAGAGGCACTCGCGCATGCCCGTACGCCAACAAGCTTGCTCGTGATACGCAGAACAACGCCGGCGATTCTGGTGCTGTCATCAAGCGTGAGCCACCAGCTGCTGACAAACTTGGTGTCATGTACCTGAACCGCATTGCGCCATCGGGGTCGCAGTTATATATCGCCAATGCCGATGGTAGCAATGCTACGCCGCTGATGGCCAACCAGTCTGAGCCCTTCGACTACCATCCCAGCTGGTCTCAAGATGGCGAGTGGATTGTATTCACCAGCGAGCGGCGTGCAGACGGCCAGTCTGATATATTCCGGGTCAGACCTGACGGAACTTGTCTGGAGACACTTATGTCTACCGACTCTTTCGAAGATATCGGCAGCTTGTCTCCAGATGGTGCAAAACTTGCTTTTGTTTCAACCGCCATAAACTATACCACCAACGTCTTTGTCAAAGACCTCTCCACTGGCGCAGTTGTCAATGTAACCGGAAGTGATGAGACGGTTGGCAGCTTTGTGGGTCCACATAGTTTCTACCGGCCATCTTGGTCGCCTGATGGCAAGTGGCTTGCCTTCAGTTCTGATGCCAACACTGAGTGGACCGGTCACAGTAATGGTACGGGGTGGGAGCATACTCAAACGCTTGCGCTCTATGTGGTGCGGTCGGATGGGACCGAGTTCCGTAAAGTTCTGGGAGCAGATGGTTTCTGCTTCGGTTCGCCTCAATGGTCGCCCGATGGGGAACGCCTGGCATACTACAATATGACCACGGAGGCTACATACAATGCTCACGGAACTAGTGGGCAGCAAGCATCCATTGTGTCGCAGATATTCAGTGTTGATGTAGCAAGTGGAAAAGATATCATCCAGCACACTTTCGATGCTTCTTTGAAAGTTGCAGGCCACTATGTTAGCAATGAAAACATCGGCTTTGTTGTAAAGGCTGGCCAGAAGCAAGGTATCAATTACACTCTCCCCGATGGCACGCATCAATATTACAATAGTACGTTGCGGAACCCGTCGTGGTCTCCTGACGGGACCCGAGTGGTGTACGAGGAGTATATATGGGGTCAACGACAAGCCGAGAAACCCCTATTCAGTTGGGATAATGAATGGGAATACCGTTTCATGGATGTATTCCCACAGTTCAACAACGCGACTAAGCGACTTGCTACAACGGAAAAGCAACTCGGTAACTCCTCGTCATCAATTGTCCTAACGGATGCTGACTACAGCAACCTTGTCAGGGCTTTCGACGTCTATGACATCAACAGCACCGCTGCGGAACAAGCCATGTATGCATCTGGTCTAGCAGGCGCTTTCCAGCCGACTTGGGCACCTGATGGCTCACAACTAGCGGTTGGTTATGGCACCTGGTTCTTTAACCGCGTATTATATCCTGGAAGGCTATATCTATTTGACGCCAACAGTGATGGCACCTACAAGAACCTGACCGATGGAAGCCTCAACGCTGGATTTCCATCATTCTCTCCAGATGGCACCAAGCTTGTCTATCGGCTTTGGGACTGGAACAACGGCCCACTTGGGTTGTACATCATGGACTTGGCAACAGGCAACACAACACGTCTGACTGACGGCTGGGATAATACGCCTGGCTGGTCCCCCGATGGGAAGCTCATCGTCTTTACACGGCAGACAAATTGGACATGGGGAAACAGTTGGGAACTTGATCGATTTGACATCTGCACTATCAAACCCGATGGTACTGACTTAAAGGTTCTGACCGAGTCGCAAGCCAATGACGCACACGCTGTGTGGTCTCTTGACGGCCGAATCATGTATAGCAGTGGGATGTACGGTTTTCGGGATGAGAGCAGTCTGTACGACAACACGTTCCAGCCCTATGGGCAGATTATCGTGATGAACGCCGATGGTTCTAATAAGACTATGTTGACGGATAGCATGTGGGAAGATTCAATGCCCATATATGTCTGGAGATCTGGTTTTGAGTAGTTGCTACCGCCTTGGAAGAGGATGACGAGGACACGGGAGCTTCTAGGTCAGTGACGAGTACGGCTCGTATGTCTACCATTTCAGGCCTCAGCAGATATCTTCCTGAGAGCGAAAGTGGCCTTACTTTGTATACGACACGATCCCGAGACGTGGCTGTCGAGACTGTAGGGAGTGATGTGGTTGATTTGTCCAACATGGATTGGGTTGAGGCGACGAGTTTCCTGGAGAATAGTCTGATTCGACAGGCGGCAAGGATGAGAGCAGCATGGAACCAATAATCGAAGAACCCAGCAATGTGGCTGACGACAAGCCAATAAGCACCGTTGACTGGGAGCAGGAATCCGGAAGCAGGAAATGTACATCATAGCAGTGGAAGTTTTCTGTATACGCTTTACAATAAAGAACAAATTTCTTCAACCCGATCCACTACGAGCCTTGAAAATTGCATTGAAGTGATACACAATAATCAACTTGCACAGTCATATTCGATTCGCGGAGTTGTTTTGTGGCATGTCCGTAAGCCTATAATGGATTTTCGATCCATTGTTGCTCCAATTCAGCATCGATACCAGACGTCCCTCTCATCAAACTATCGAAGAATGCCACGTCGACGCCTTGAAAGGTCCAGTCGTCGACATCAGTCACAATGGGAGCAAGCGCATCTGGCTGCTGAATAGTCATATCTTGGCTAAGGTTGGGATAATCCAAGATGGCCTTCTCATCCCTGAGCGTCTGCTGTGCTGTTGGTCGTTTCGAGTACATAGAACTGGCCGGAATCATTGAATTTGGATCCGAGTCGTTCAAAGGGCAAATCGGTCGTTCATGAAAGGTTGATGCGCGACCGAGAGTCGACACTTCGATGATGGATTCGATATACGAAGGTCGATGTGTAGGCTCACAGGAGATAAAACCTTGTCGAGAAATCTTGATGGTACCGAGATAGGGGATATTTAGGCGAAGCTCGTTGCCTTCTTTCTCGCCTTCAGTCCTGTTAACATCTCCTCCAACAACACTCGTGATATAATCGCCTCCATCAGATGCATCTGCTTCCATTTCTAGTAATCGTCGGACAACAATGGCACTTTTCTCGGTTATCTTGTCTTCGTTCATGTGACTGATTGCATCCATTGTCTCCAAGGCCTGATCAAGGATGGCGCGGTCGCTTGAGCGTTGATGGGCTAGGGAGTTGGTTGTTGTGCGATGATAATGAGAATCTAGATGAGCAAGTGAAAGTGTCATTGCCGCTAGGAGTGCGAAGAAGTCGACTGGACGAGAGCAGGATGACGCAGGATTGAAACTCCTATGAGCGATAAAACGTGCCAATATTTCTCGACTAGCATTGACGCATGCATTCTTGGCATAAGCGTGCCCATTATTATCACCAGTTCGGATCATGAACGGTAGATGAAGCTGAATCAATAGACTGTAGTAGTAAACTTGTGCTCCCAGTCGTAGAGTTTCCAAGTAGGTATCTGGCTCTCCTAAAGCAAAGCCATGGAAGTTTACCGGACGCCAGAAGCTCGCAGGCATGCTTCTCGAGAGTTTCAGGAGCTCAGAGTCAATTGATTGAGTTGTCGTGTGGTCCCTATGGTGATAGGCACTCTCGTTACGGTCGAGTATACGAGATGCCATGATTGTCAAGATACGTTCGAACCTTCCAAGAGGCGGCTCGTTTTCCCAAACCGACCACGGCGGCACATTCTTTTCAGATATACCTTGAGGAAGGCCAAGAAGGAGACTGAGATATCGATCCATATGAATTATACGGAACCACAAGGCCTCTGGTTGCGCAGTGGTCCGTGAGTCGAGATACTTTAAGACAGGCCTTATTGACCGGTGAAGCCCCAATAATTGAGCAGCAGTCATTGCCCTGCGATACACGGCCCACCCACGTCGAAGATTTCCACAATTTATCTCAAATATGCCTTCTAAAATGATGCAGATTAGACCCTCGACAGTTCCCTGCATCTCCTCTTTGGTCGTCACCCAGGTCGTTGCGGCGAAGACTAGCCGATGCATGATCGCATCTTGTGGCTCGGAAAGGCCAAGAAACCTGTCTCTAGCCGGATTCTGTAGAGTAATCGCAAATATGAGCATGCATCTAGCAATGATTACTGGATGTGCATTGCGGCTAGGAAGCTTGAATTCGGAGCAGAGCTTCTCGAATGTCTCATGAGTGAGCTTGTTGTGAGGTTGAGTGTATACAGTCTCATTATAAAGCACGGTTTTCGAACTCTCCTTCGCCAATAGTTTGGCATCGCCGTCGACAGGAAATGCAGCAAGCAGATGAGCAAGAGTCAGATCAGTGTTTGTCGAATTCGATGTGCTCTGAGACTCTGGCGTGAGAACTGATAACGATACACCGAACTTCGCATAGCCCTAAGTGTGAAGTCAGGAAATTATTTCAAGCTTACTCGCCAGGCTCATTAACTTACCGTAGAAGGAGTAGAAGTTGTTTGAACTGGAGATACCTCCGGGATATTTGAACGTAGTGTTGCACTGCTAGGTCTTGTATGCCTCGGCCCCTCATGTGGGGCCCCTTCAAGCAATGCGGTCTCGCCATCTTTGCTGGCAAGAATCTCCTTCATCAAGTCCTCGACCTTCGAAATCCGCGCTCCGAGGTGTCGGTTTCCTATCCTTGCGGGGGATAGGTCTTCTGGCAGATCCTGGCTAACACATGGAGCTCGCCGCCGCTGGCAGCTGAGACAGTTGCCATCATCAGACGACGGGAAAATGCATCTGATCTTGCGTCGTTTACATTCCCAGCAAGATTTAGTTCCCTTGCGAACCTTCCTGCGCTTAGTCGATGGCTGTTTGTTAAGAAGGACGCCATCGTGGCAGATTTCTGTCGCCGGAGGTCCTACCTCGGCCGACTCATCACCCAACGAGTCGATCATCACTGGTTACAGTAGACTCAACACGTGTCTAGTTTTATGCTAGTTACTGTTGAATCTCCTATACGGCGGAGGAATTAGCCTGGTCAGGTTGAAGATTCTTATCAAAAGCAATGAAGTTGAAAGGGGTTGGCAACGCTGATACCGCCGTGACGGGCGAAGAACTTTATTTTGCGGTCTTTGTGATATAGCTCCGTACCCGTCAGAATTCTTTCCGATGCTAGTCGAATCACCGAGATGCTTTGTCAAGGCTCTTCGCCAGAATCACGATTTGATCAATCAGATCCCCGGATCTGACATGCACCTGTTGGTATTTGGTTCGAGGGCATAAATGATGACGCGTGAACATGACATGATATGTGAGGTTTCGCCCTTCACGGCGGAACATAATTCTTGTCTAACCGAGCTAGGTTTGACCTTAAGTCCGCTTACAAACTCTTGATTGGTCTGAAAGTCTTGTTCTAATTGGCTGACTTCCGTGAAGGCGGACTGACCGGCCAATCACGATCCATCACCCTAATATGGGTCCTCTGCCCGTTATGAATGATTTATCTCCGTGCTCATGAAGAGAATAGATCCTTCTCTGTTGTATATTTAAAATAAAAGCATTTCCTATAGGAGGACGACTTGCACAAGCCTGTCAACAGTCAATCGTTAATTGTTTCCAAGAATCTCTGTTCTAAATTAACGATATGTCTCCCTTAGAGATTGACGATGTAGGCGTAAAAGATCCGGCACCTACAACTCTCCCAAATAGTACGGCGAACGCGAGCGCATCCGAGACGGAGGCAAAAGACCAGACCGACTTCGAAAAGCCGACAAATCTCCAAGTTCCCAGAAGCGGACCTCCACCTCCCAATGGTGGACTCCTTGCATGGTTACAAGTGGCCGCGGGCTTCACACTTTTCTTCAACACCTGGGGAATGATCAGCGCTTTCTCGGTCTTTCAGACATACTATGAGTCCGGCGAGCTCTTCGAAACGTCCTCGGCGAACATATCTTGGATCGGTTCTATTCAGTCTTTCCTACTTCAAATTACCGGTCTCGTCGCTGGTCCGATCTACGACAGGGGTCACGTCCGTCTTCTACTCGTCACCGGCAGCTTTATGATCGTGTTTGGCCACATGATGCTCTCTTTGTGTACAGAGTATTGGCAGGCGTTGCTCGCACAGGCGTTCTGTGTCGGTATTGGTGCTGGTCTACTGTTTGTACCCACGGTGTCGCTCATCCCGACTTGGTTTAGCACACGCATCGGCCTTGCCGTTGGCATTGCATCATCGGGTTCATCACTCGGCGGCGTCATTTACCCAATTGTGGTCTACCGACTCATCTCACAAGTCGGTTTCCCCTGGGCAGTGCGGTGTGTAGGCTTCATTGCCCTTGCAACTTTTATGATTCCCCTTGCCGTGTTCCGCGTCCGAGTGCGTGTACCGAAACCTCGAGCTGTGGTGGACTGGTCCGCATTCCGTGATGCGCCTTTTATGGTGTTCACATTGGGTGTCCTCGTCACGTTCATTGGACAAACCGCTCTTCTCTTCTATATCTCATTCTATCCAGCCGACCGCGGCTACACCGACACATCATTGGCGTTCTATACGGCGGCTATCTTCAATGCAGCTTCAGTTTTTGGTCGAATTTTGCCCAACGCGCTATCCGACCGCATTGGCGTGTTTAACACAATGGCGCCATTCACGATGCTGCTGGGCATCACGATCCTTTGCCTCCTTGGCGTACAAAATAAGGCCGGGATGATCGTGGAGTCCATTGTAACAGGCTTCTTCAGTGGGGTAGTTGTGGCTCTACCACCTGTATGTTTCCGAGTACTTACGGAGAATAAATCCATGATTGGCACTCGTATCGGACAGGGTTTCGCTATCGGCGGACTTGGCCTATTGGCTGGCGGTGCTGGTGCTGGCGGTGTCCTTGGGACTGCAGAACCACTAAATTGGACAGGTCTATGGGTTTATGCGGGTGTAACAGTCTGCGTAGCTGGGCTGATTTACACCTGTGTTCGAATAATGAGATCTGGGCTGACACTGAAAGTCAAGGTTTGATCGGAAGATACAGTCCTAGTAGTTTAAAAGATAATTCCGCTTGATGTATTGACCTTCAATATCCTGCTTGAATTCTGCAAGTAATATTAGATTACAAGAGATGGGCATTTCGAGGCTGTAAACTAGAAAGGAGCCCGAATTCTGTACAAAAAACTTAGATCGGAAAAGTAATTAGTCACATCAGCTCCCGCATGTTCAAACTTGGGACAAAGGCGTCTTACTTCCATTTGAACCCGACGTGTCACCTTGCACAAGAATCAATGCTTAATTCAAGGAATTACATGATAGGCACTCATACAGTGGACAGGCTCATGTGCTAGTCTAGCTCTTTAGAGCAATCAGTAAGGCTACGTTCTGTCCAAAGAGCCATTACCTTTCTATAAACAAGCATTTATGAGATACCATAGTCATTTCTCTTATGAAGTCACGAGAATAGCCAAGACGGCATAGGAAATGCAGTAGAATTGGGCAGCCAATCCTGGTTTCAAACTCTTGCCAACCATGTTTGGCAGAGGTGTACGGTGAATACTTATGTTTCTGTTACTGTTGTGTGCTATCTGCTCAATCTGATTCCTCTAAGTCAAGCTTACAATAAGTGCACATTTGCCAACAAAACTTGTCCTGGCAAGATATGATCGGCTAGGACCTCCTCTCTAATGGTCATAAAATACAAGAGCCCTAACCTCGATACTCTCTCTTGGCTCGTTCTTCTCTTCGTTAGGGTTGACAAAAGCAGAGTGAGGTACGCGTCTTGCTCGGCCGTCTTCTAGAGAGTCGAAGCATTTGATGAGAGTGACCTCGTCTGGGCGCTGAGCATATTTGAAATACCATCGGTGGTTGGGGTTCGGCCTGACCGCGTATGTTTCTCCTCGTCTAGTTGGGTAGACCAGTGCTGCTGGCACTAAATCAGAGTCTGGAACAGAGTGGGCTTCTGCAATGGCCAGAGGATCCTTGTAGATTGTTTTAATTGGGCGCCAGACCTAGAAAGCTTTGTTGGTATATGAATTCTCATGGGAAAGTATGTTCTGGCTTACATTGATAATCTGATATCTCTTTTTTAGAAGCTCCTCTGCCTCGTCTGGGAGATGGTAAGATACTCGGTTCGTTGAGGCAGAGTATGATTGGTCGATATGCACGCGGAATACAGGGCCTCTCAGTTGAGCACCAGGGGTCCGCTCATCCTTGGGCTGCCTTCGAATCGTATGGTCAAAGATAAAGACACGGACAGCACCGGTCCTGGAGTGGGTGTCAGTAAATAGCTGAGAGGCTAAGAGTCGCCAGCCTAACGACTTACGCATCTTTCAAGAGCTGCTCTGTCTCTGGGTAATATTCCGCCTTGATTTTCTCATCATCAAGGAAATCCTTCTCTGAGCTCTCGTGCTTATAAATCTTGAAGCCATGGCTGTCAAGACCGTATTTATCTTCGTCTCCGGTGATGTCTGTGACAATAACATTTTGTGGAACGAAAGGACGGTCATAGGTCTCGGGCTGACTATCTCGCCATCAGTTAGTTGTGCAGGCCCAAATATTCTGTGCCAAACTCACCCAACAATTGAAGGTGCAGGAGGCGACCCGTCGCCGGGATCCTTATAATAGTTGAAGGTTGCGGCGACGTCGTGCTTCTGGGTCGACTGTTGAGGAACCGCCTCGACAAAAGTCCCGTGTGTAGATGTGGAAGGGGTTTGTACTGCTGCAGTAGCCATGTCCGTGATTGTTATCTATGAAGTTTGCATGCAGGTCGCATAAAACCTCCAATTGCCACGCGGGTTGCGTACCGTTGATTTATACTTCCTCACCTCCCGAGTAGTGCGGGGTGGGTTGGTGATCATCCTATCGTGGTCGAGCACGCAATGGATTTCGGCGAGCATGCCATTACGACATTTGTCAGCTTACGATTGAAGAAGCATCATTTGACGCCTTTCGGCTGATCAATTATACTTCAAACTCTGGGCCGATTGAAATATAGGATTTACCTTGAACAGAGTCAAATCCAGTTCTCGTCTGGTTCATCTTCGAAGGAAACAGCCGCTCCACAAGTAGTTCGGCGCAAGGTACCAAGACTTAGTATCTGTGGCAATATCTATAGACTTCATGGCGAAATAAGATGGTAACTTATGCAGCATAACCGTCGGCAAGTATGACGTGACATCACATGGGTCTAATTCGGATGATTATGTTTAAAAACAAGAACTACTTTCACTTGTTTATCCAATAGACAGTATGTAGATTGCGTTTCTTATTGTCATTACGTCTTACATCACTTACACGGGTCTTTGATTTTCGTAAGATTGTTTTCCAAGTCCTTGCAAATTTACTGGCCTCGGTTGGTGTAGTCTATCCTCCAGCACTACCTTGACTTTATAAGGATATGATTTCGCTCTCATGCTTGAGATTAACGAGTCATATTCCTGGATCTTGTCGACAATTATATAGTTTCCTGCGCGCCTAGTAGGCATAAATGCATTCGACCATCGAGATGTATTCTAATTGATTAATCATTATGATGGATGCTTCAAGCCGAGAGAGCAATGTTTGGCTATGTTTTGGAGACTAGGACGTAAGTTGTAGTATCGTGGTGTAGCAAGTGATAAGTTCAACGAAGTAAAAACGCCGGCCCGGTCACCCGTTTTCGGTAGAGCCCGAGAAGGAAGCCGGATCCGTGGCGGAGTGTTGCTGCTCCACACGATCCGCATCGGTCGGTCCGCACAGATGCTTCGGACTCAATATCGAACCCAATCCTCCCTCGGGTCCTACAGAAGCAGATGAGGTATCTTGCAAGGTAGGACAAAGTCTTATTTCACCTGCTTAAGTTGCTTGCGACTAAGTACCTTTATATCAGTCGGATGACTTATAGAAAGATGTTCACTCAAACCCCCAAGGCACGTTAAGGCTTACTGCATCTACGACCCTGTCCCTAACACTAAAGAGCCTTTGAATTAGGGAGTGATAACCCTGGTCTCCGGGTAGTGCCGGTACCTAATGTCTGGTCGATCTGTTACAGAAGATGCATCCAATGAGAGCGAGTGTAATCGGTGAGCAAATCGGGTCCTCGAAACGCCCTGTCAAACACCCTCGTACTTGGCGGGGCAGTGGCAGTGCTGGCGTCAGTTACGACAGCGACCAAAGCATTTGTTCGATGACTGCAGCCTTTTGAGGCCTGCCGTCGAATCAAGGCACGACGAGGGGGCGTCTTTGAGGCGTCTTCGCCACCGACCTTACCACCTAACACCATTCCTTTTATTAGCAACAGTTAAGGCCCGCGCCTACGTAGGGCCCGTGTAAAAGGACCTGCATGAGGTGCCTAATGAAGAGGCAGTATGGTAAAAAGAATGAAAGAAAAAGCGAGGATCACTTTGCGATACAGTGCCACGAATAAAGGGATGGCAAGACTTAGACCCAAAGAGGCGCCAGGAACATTCCGAAGCGGGCCAGAAGGCGCTGCCAAGTGGCCGAGTTGGGCGTCTTGAAGTGCGCTGCCCCTGAGAGCCCGTCACCACCAGCGAATGAGCCCCGCGACCCGGTTTCATGTTGATCTCAGATCCGCAGCGCAGAGACAAGCACATATGTCATTGGGATCTGCCGCCTCTTGCCTCCTGTCTTTTGCCCATCCAATCTGCCGCTTCCTTGATTACCTACCAGCCTACCTTCTTTCCCATTCAACACAGCATTTCTCGCGACGACATTCCATCGCCAAAAAGTGAAGAGAAGAGCGCTGCAGAAACGGCTCCCTTCACTCCATTTAAGGTGTCGCCGCCGCCACTTTTTGCTAGGGAGCATTTGCAGCACACTTGCCCCTTGATTAAAGCATCCCCGCCATACAAACGGGTTTCAGCTGCCGGACAAGATGGGGGACCTCGAAATGGGAGACAGGAATCAGAAGAAAAAGAAGGAAGAGAGTTTGCAGGACACAGAATATCGACCGGTTAACTGGAAGAAGTTATTGCTATCACCGAAATACATACGTATGCATACCATCTCTTTTTCCTTGTGGGGAGACCCATGTGCGAGGGATATTTGGCTGACAAAGGCAAACAGCATGGCATATTCTCGGAATCGCCATTGCCGTGATCACCGTTCTAATCACAATACACCACGATCAGGTCGTCGATGTGAGTTTGGAAGGCCTTTTGGGGAGTTTTTGTTGCAGGAAGCTCATGCGATTGCAGAAATTACGGCCATTTGGCGAAAAGGTTCGAGATATCCCAGCAGGCTGGTTGATTCCGATCGCCATCCTAATTGTCATATCATTCCCGCCTCTGTTCGGCCACGAAATCATCGCGCTACTTTGCGGTGTGATTTATGGGCTATGGATTGGATTCGGCATCGTCGCTGCCGGCACTTTCTTTGGCGAAGGTAACACTCTTCCCCTGCCCCAACACCCCTGCCATCACAACCCCTACCTTGTGTAATATGCTAACATTTCGGCAGTTGGGACATGGTTTGCATTCAAGTATGCGTTGCGGAGGAGAGCACAGAAACTCGAGAGGACGAATCTTAACTACGGTGCACTTGCGCGACTGACCCGTGACGGCGGATTTTGGATTGTGCTGGTCATTCGCTTCTCAGTCATTCCCTCGCATTTCTCCACGGCCGTCTTCTCGACCTGCGACGTCAACTTCTGGTACTTCGCTATTGCCACGTTTTTGACATTGCCCAAGCAGATTATTCTTGTCTATTTCGGAGTATTGCTAGTACAGGAGAGCGGAAGCGATTTGATCAAAGACGTCGTCCTCGGCATCACCTTCCTCATCACCATTGTCCTGGCAGTCTGGATTTGGTTCAAGATGAAGACCATCAAGAAGATCCTGCTCGACGAGCAGGCGGCCAGAAAAGCCAACCTCGAGATGGAGCGTCTGAAGGAGGCCGAAGCGGCCGCGCAGAGACCCCAAAGAGACTTTGCGTATGGTGAACAAGCGCCGAATCCCGGACCGCCTCAATATTCCCAGAACGAAGAGTCGTATGACGAGTCTGCCAGCTTGAGAGCTCCACCGTATCCGCAAGACCCGATGCCCTACGATGGGCGGGGTCACTTCGACATGCCGTCGTACCCTCCAAATCATAGGCGATACGACGAAGCTCCGAACCTTGGACCGACGCACCATCCACAGAATTTCATTTGATTCTCAGCTGTTTTATTAGTGTATTTGCTTGGCGTTTGGAGTTCTGTGTTTTGGATTAGGCAAATGATTTGATCCTCGATGGACAAATATGATAATGGGCAGAATATTCGGAATCATCGTCGATCAAATAACGACTGGCGTTACTACAGTTAAGGGATGGACTCCTCGGCTACGAGTATTGGGACAAGCCGCTGGCTCGTCAAGGGATATGTATGGACGATTAAACAGGAAAGCTGGGATTATCATGGAATAGATATTACTTCCAGACGGGATATAGACATAGAGCAGCAACTCGAACCACAGCTGCGAGATCAGGAAGACCTTGTTACAATACCTCTGTTAAACACCTGAGCTGAGGTGCTTCGAATGCTATTTTCTATTAGAGCGTGTGCCCTAGCCGTGACCACCGAGCGTATGAGCCGTCTGCGTCTGATTTGTCTACCACCGTTCCAGCCTCCATCTCCCCGGAATCACAGAGGTGACGAGGCCAGGCGGGAATAGGGCAAGGCTCTGTGAGGAAAGTAGCCGATAGACAATCCCCGCCAACGCAGGAGAGAGCTTATGATGGCCAAACAACCAGCAGTAAAGTTCTTATTGTCTTCCCTTGGGGCAAAGCCCACATCCATCTTGCCTTCGTTTCGGCCCGTAACACCTGCCATCACAGCGTATCACATACTAGCCTTATGGTACACTTACAAACTGCGTGTCAGCCATACAACCGACTTGTGTGCTAAAGATATTGAGATATAGTTCGTACGAAT